AACTTTGAAGTTCCACAGGCTTGAATACCCATGCTAGTCACATTTTCTGAAAATACATGATACGTATATTTTATTATTAAAAATTGACGGTCATTATGCTGTTAACCATTATGTAATATTGCATCAGAATAGAAGAAAACACAATTTTGGGTGCTGCTGCCATGATGACCATTATGGGAAAACCATGTTACTTATGATTGCCAAACTTTCAAAAAAAGAAATACAGGACTAAAAATGCAGCCTGAGTTGAAAAAACAGTCTAATTGGCTTCTTTTTCTGGAAGTTATACATTTTCAAAGTGCGAACTTGAACTCCCATGGGCCTGAAGCCTTATGCTTGTTACACATTTTACTTACATTGGTATTACCTATTGAGCATAATTAAAATTTGATGTTGAATTTGTAGTTTAACATAATGTACTTTTGCATCAGAATTGACAGTAGCCTATTTTGTGCATAGTTATTTCCTGCTTTTTGTCTGTACATTTGACAGCTTTGCTGCCTTGTTAAATATAGATTTTTAAAAATTTATAATGTTGCAGAAGTCGTGACTTCGGCAATTTCTCTATGAAATACTGACTTTAGATCATAGCATGCTATGGTAAACTACCCCAAACCTATACCCATAATACCCAAATCAAATGTCAAATCTGACCTTGACCTTCAATTTCAAGGTTATTTGGACATTTCAAGGTGACATATTCACTTGGGCTAAAACTAATGTATTGTTGACCCACCTCCCCTAATCCACATATGCTCTTTCAGGGTATGGGATCAGATTTAGCACGTGGCCTTGTAATTGACCCTTTTCTTCAAGGTCATTCCACCCCTATTTTGCAGGGGAATCCTCTGCCACTGGCTTCAGCCAGTTGCAGTCTAGTTTATTATTATTATTATTATTATTATTATTATTATTATTATCATCTTTTTGTTTAGGTCCAGTTGGTTGTGACCATATTTCCTACAAGCAGAGATGACCGGTATAATGCTGTGAAAAAACTTTGTCTGGTTGATGCCCCAGTAGCAACACAGGTAACAATTTTATTTACAAACAAAAAGTAGGAAACAGCAGAAAAAGAGCAACAAATATTTTCTCTTGATTTAGTTGAAAAAGTAAAAAGTACACAAAGTTATAGGTTGCCTGAAAATGATCTAGTCAGAGGTGAGACATTTTTTCCATTTCGTTACCACATTCTGTATAGGTCATATATAAACAACTTTCTTGATTCACAAGTCAAACTGGTTGGACTGAGTATAAATGAAGTAGAATGTCAATTTAATAGAACTTGGTCTTTTGTTTTTCATTGGTTTTAATTTAAGAGACCTGCTGTGAGTTATAATTGAAGTGTGCATCTCCCAGATATTTTAGATATTTTAAAAGAAATATGCCTTTTTTTCCTTGGTAGGTTATCAATGCCCGCACAATATCAGACCAGAGGAAGCTAAGATCTGTCTGCCAAAAAGTAATCTTGCAGATGAATGCCAAACTTGGTGGAGAACTTTGGGCTGTGAAGATACCAGTGGTACTTTTTTTTTCATAAATTTGGGTTAAATTTTTCTTTTTTAACTTGTCTTCGAGGATTGTGCATATTGAAAGTAAGCAAAGATGCTTGCTGGTATGTGTCTTTCATATATGCACACTTATTTAATAAGGACAAACACTGCATGTCTGGACATATGGATATCACATACGTGTATAATGTCCGTCATTGACTTGCACTTTCCTGGAATTTTTTACTCACAATTTAAGAAAATACATGTTACTTAAATTATTTTGAAATTTTTTTATCTTAAATGTAAACCTTAAAGATGCATATGAAGTCAATTTTTGTCACAAAAGTCAACCAAATGCCAGCATATAGTTTCAAATACTATAACTAAGAGAATTATTAAAACTTTAAAGACATTGTTTAATATTACCTGAAAAATGATATTTGATTGGATTTTTCTGCTACCTTTCTAAGCTGTATATAAATGGGGCCAATAAGTAGGTCAAATAAGTAGGTTAAATTTACGACCTATCATTTAAAGAAAGGAGCAGTTTAAAACTTTTATGGTTGATCGAGTGATATATTTGGTTTATCCTTTGGCATGTTAAACTTATTTGAGTCATATAAGATACTAGTATAAGTGGTTTATATGCATTACTGGGAATCCACGCTCCACTTACGCTGGGTTCATTTGTTTCTTTAATGTTATGCTTTTTAAAATTTGAACAGTATTTTTTCCTCTGTCCTTTTCCAGCGTAACACCATGATATGTGGCATAGATGTTTACCATGAGGGTAAGGGTGGCAAGGCTCAGTCTGTTGGAGCTTTCTGTGCATCCATGAATAAGGATTGTACTCGCTGGTTCAGTGATGTGTACAAGCAAACCCCAGGAGAGGAGTTGATATCTGGCTTGAAGATGAGCCTGTCAAAGGCCATTATAAAATACCATGAGGTTGGTCTCTGTTTTCAATATTACTGTTTTAGATGATATCAAAATCTTTCTGAAGCAAAGTTATTTGTTTTGTTTTTAATGGAAATGTATTACATTGACTGGAAACATGACAATTTGTAAGCCTTAATTATAATTATTATCATTATTATTTGAACCCCTGTTATGTGCCCATTTTCATTTCCAGCTCAATCACAGCTTGCCAGACCGCATCGTAATATTCCGTGATGGTGTTGGTGATGGCCAACTCGGCATGGTTGCAGATTATGAGGTGTCTCAACTGGAGTCCTGTTTCAGTCAGTTTGGGGAAACCTACCAGCCAAGGCTGGCTGTTATTGTTGTCCAGAAACGCATTAACACCAGAATATATGCAAAACTGGTAACAACGTTCTCCTTGGATCTCACAACTGTAACTGTACCATTTATCTTAAGATGAAATTTTATTAATGCTTAAAGAGATGAGTTCACAAAAGTGATTCATTGTTCAATGAAAATTCAACAGATTGTTTAGATAAATTTCCGTGGCCAGTTAAATGGTTGGCTTCATTAATTCAAAATGGGTTACTTGTGTGAAAGCAAGGTTTTTGGACAAATATTTTTCTGTTCTCCATTTAGTTTTATCCATGATTACTATTGTCTTTTTACAGCAGGGGGCAGGCAGAGGGTGCCAGTATGATAACCCTCCTCCAGGAACAGTAGTGGATCATACCATCACAAGAAAGGAATGGTAGGCACTATTAACTATGAAATCAGTCAGTTTTGTCTGGTGTGTGAAGTGCAATTTGTTACAAAATATTAAGTTTGATAAAAATTGCCATCCATTTGAAGAGTGACAGTTTTTTCAGTAACCTCAGGCTTCACAGGTTAGCATTTAGAACTATTTGTTCCAGTGATCAGTGTCAACTTAAGTGAAACAATACTAAAAAAATTCTTAAAACACATAGTGACAGGAATTTTGAGATAAAAATGTCTTTTGATGACTCTGAAGATTGTTTTAAAAGGAACTTTAAAACCTTTTTATTTATAGAATTTTTAATTTTAATTACTTTTATGTTCTTACTTTATCTTTGTAGTTTAAGTTTTTTATGCATATTTTAACAGCTCTAAGACACAATTGTAGCGAGGTTTTAAGAAATAAATTATTATTATTAAATATTTGTAGTTTGCTAGAATGAACTGTGCACCAACTGTGCTCATATTCAATCATATGTATTCGTGTACGTACTTATTTCAGGTATGACTTTTTCCTTGTGAGCCAGCATGTCCGCCAAGGAACCGTCTCTCCCACACATTACATTGTGGTTCATGATGGTTCAGGACTTAATCCAGACCAGATTCAGCGCATGACTTACAAGATGACTCATTTGTATTACAACTGGCCGGGGACTGTGCGCGTCCCCGCCCCTTGCCAGGTTAGTACATCCAAGGGCTCTTATGCCTTTGTTAAGTTTTGTAAAATGTTTGTCATGGCTTTGTAGTTTGTAAAAGCTGACATTGTGGCCTATTGCAAGTGGTATGAAAAAGATATCAAATAGAGATTATGTTTAGATGACAGGAATTCCAATTCCGTATTTTTACGCATTCTTCCTTATTTCTGTTAATGTTTTCTATTAACCATATTAAACATGCGCCCGTTTCTTTTCTTCAGTATGCTCACAAACTGGCATACTTGGTGGGTCAGAATCTCCGGGATAAGAAACCACACGATAAGCTTATGGATAAGCTGTTTTTCCTGTAAAGAAATACTCAAGTCCAGAACTGTGCCAAAAACTCCATGGAAATAAAATGTTAAAAAGATACACGTTTTTGTTTGGACATGGACAAATGGTTTGAAAGGATTCGTATTACCATGAAGCAAGTGGCTGATGGGGCCAAGCGGAATCCACAAAATCATGTTTTGAAATTATCACCTGTTTTACCTCTAAAGGGTTTGAAGAGGTACTGATATTTAAAAAACCGGTGGTATGGGGAGACGGGTGGTAAAATGGTAATCTTCATTCTGTCTCAGGGTTGACATCTCTCCGAGGTTGTGCATATTTGAAACTTTTTTGATTGCAGATGTATTTTCATCCGTGCTGTTTCAAATACCAGTAACATTTTGAGAGCTAAAGCAGCTACAATTCATTTTATGTTTATTGAAGTTAAGACACGGCATAAGCCTGAAATGATCCATCCAGTTTTGTTTTTGCACAAGTCTAGAGAGATGATCTGTATTGGTATAATAATTATTTTTTTACAATGAAAGGTTAAATGCTTTCTATTTTTATAATGTAGCAGCAGTGGTCACTTTGTAGTTTAGTTAACATGTAGAAATAACTCTGTTGGTATCACTTCAAGATGCAAAAGAATGACTTTTTAATCTATTATTTTACCAATTTCCTTCCAAAGACCAACATTATTGCAACACCTGTATCAAACGTGCTTAAGCAGCAATATCTGTGGATGGTACACATGTAATGGATAAATACAATAGGAAGGTTACGTTGCAATTTGGAAGTTTCACGTCAAGAAATTGTTTCATATAAAAGTAGCATAGTTTTATGATACTTCTGTCTGGAAAATAGTAAAACATTTCTTAATTTTTTACCTAATGTTTTTTTTACTATAGCTTGCCATCCTAGGGGAATGAGCAAGTGTAGATTAATATGTTAAACAGCATTATTCAGTGTTTCAACTTAAAAGTCAAAGTGCAGATTAGCTGTTGTATCCTAGTAAATTGCACTGCTGGGCCTGTAGTGTGGTACTCCCATGTGTTGAAACTAAATATCCTTTAATTCTGTAAAAGAACTTAAGTCAAAAGGGTCATTGATTAGACTGAAAATCTTTGATGGCAAAAGTTGCATACCTGCATTGCTCTTATTTTTTCAACCAGACATGACATCAGTTTATTTTCCAAGCATCGTAATATCAATCCCAGACTTTGAGCCTTTTTTCAAAATGTGCCGTATTCTTGTCTGTATTGCAGTTTTGAGAGATGGACCACTTCATGCCTGATTACATGAGTCCTCTAAATGCCTAACATGGTCAGTTACATGGGTTAATTTTGATTGGTCCAAACTGTTAGAATCAAGCTTGTGAGAGGGTGCAAAACCCTTTGCTGCATACTTTTGTTAAGACCAGTCAAAACTTTGCAATACAGATAAGTACTATATTGCATGATAGGAAAAGATATATTTATTTTAATGGAAGTAATCTCATGTTATTTATGGTATTAAAGAAGTTTCTTTGTTAAAAATAGTCACTACATGCTTAGTTGTTCCTGTGAGAGAAGGGCTTTAATTGACCCATTTTTAAATTGATTTTAGTCATTTTAAATAAATGTAGAAAAGTGACCCAATAAAACTACAAAACAGTTTGCCTTTGTACACATTTTATTGAAGATTGGAGATAGCACCAGCCTCCTATGAGAGTCACATGTGCTTGACCATAAGGGGCAATTTCACATCCATTTTTTTGCAAATCATTTCAAGGAGGCAGTGCATCAAAACAGACATGCTGAAAACTTTTCATAATGGCCGGACATTTGGACCGGCAGTACTGAAAAATTTGCAGGACCGAATGGATTTTTGTCGGACCGAAAATCACTCTATTTGCTTGAGACAGATACTACCAGTATGATTAGGGTAGCTTACTTTGTTTGTGAATGTGATAGTTTTGCAATGGAAGGGAAAAACGCTTTGGGTTTTATATAATTTTATTATTGAAGTATGTCGAAAGATGACTGTAAATTCAAAATTGCAATTCTTAAAACTCTTGTCGGTCCTGTGGACCGACCAAGTCCAATTTTCTACCGGTCCAGACTAATTTTCCCGGTCATGACCGATCGGACCGACAGTTTCAGCATGTCTGCAAAAGTTCAAACTCTTTCTATGAAATCCACATTTCACGTTAAAAATATTGTAAACAACTCAAAAATATAATAAATTCTATATTTCCACCAAAACAATTGTTTTGCAATTATTCTGGAACATGTGTTTGCCATCAGACCACTTAACCTCCATAGATGGCTACCCTCTATAATAACCTCTTAAATAAATATCTTAAGAGACAATTACAAAAAAAAAACTTTTTAGGAAAAAAAGCAGGGACTTGAATGTTGGAACAGACTCATTAACCATTGGTAAGCATGGGAAAATTGTTTACCCCAGGTTAATCCATTTTTGGAAGAAGTGAACAGTTATTATCCCTTAAAGTGTCACTGTGTCACCAAAATTAATAAGGTGTTTATTAGCCCAGCACTTGTGCCCCATTTGGGCACATTTGCGACAAAAAAAAGCCAAGATGTAGTTTGTCTGTAAACAGTGTACTTGAATTTACATACAAAGAAGACAAAATGTCCCAACTCACCTACCACTTGCAGTATTTGTTCAATATCCTGCTGCATTTTTACCTTAACAACCCCTTTCTATTCCTATGTAAAAGATTAAGATTTAAACCAATTTTTAATAAGTTAAAATCAATATTAATGAAGAAAAGTGTCTAAAGCTACTTTAAGTTGGCCAATGGTGTTGTTTTCCTTATGCATTCAAAGGTACCTATACACATGCCAAAAAAAAAAAAACAGCTTTGAAAAATGTACTGATCAAATTAAATTTTTTATCTTATAAATGTTTTTCAATTAATACCAATAATTCATACTTCTCTTAGATTTCATTTTCTTCCTCTTCAAAGAAAAAATCCTACTAAACAGAACAAGTACAAGTGATCAAGAACAAAGTACAGCATTACGATAATGGAACATAAAGGAATTCTGTTTCATGTAATTCTAAACTTGGGATTCCAGTACTGTTTTGTTCTTGGTAGGTTTAAGCTTAATACTTCCTTAATTTCTGAAAAATCTCTTCCTTATTGAAAGGTTGTTTACTAGCAATACTCTGCAAGATGAGGAGAAGGTCCACCATGAAAAGCCATCAGTCCTACACATACAAAATGTGCCAAGCCATGTGTGTTACTAGGGTGCAGTTGGGCTACCTACACAACGCTTAAAACCATTGATATTTTTTCAGACAGGTGTCTGTCTCCTGCCTTCAGGTACAGTTGTTCATTTCATCCAGAAGTCTATCTGCAAGTGCTGAAATAAGGGGGGAGGGAAGACCTCTGTCCATACCGAACTGTCTAGCAACTGCACTTGGGCTGTCATCCTGTAATAGTTAATCGTTTATATCACTAATAACCCTTCAAATGCCCAACTTAACCATATGGGGAGCTGCTGGAAAATGCANTTTGGGTTTTATATAATTTTATTATTGAAGTATGTCGAAAGATGACTGTAAATTCAAAATTGCAATTCTTAAAACTCTTGTCGGTCCTGTGGACCGACCAAGTCCAATTTTCTACCGGTCCAGACTAATTTTCCCGGTCATGACCGATCGGACCGACAGTTTCAGCATGTCTGCAAAAGTTCAAACTCTTTCTATGAAATCCACATTTCACGTTAAAAATATTGTAAACAACTCAAAAATATAATAAATTCTATATTTCCACCAAAACAACTGTTTTGCAATTATTCTGGAACATGTGTTTGCCATCAGACCACTTAACCTCCATAGATGGCTACCCTCTATAATAACCTCTTAAATAAATATCTTAAGAGACAATTACAAAAAAAAAACTTTTTAGGAAAAAAAGCAGGGACTTGAATGTTGGAACAGACTCATTAACCATTGGTAAGCATGGGAAAATTGTTTACCCCAGGTTAATCCATTTTTGGAAGAAGTGAACAGTTATTATCCCTTAAAGTGTCACTGTGTCACCAAAATTAATAAGGTGTTTATTAGCCCAGCACTTGTGCCCCATTTGGGCACATTTGCGACAAAAAAAAGCCAAGATGTAGTTTGTCTGTAAACAGTGTACTTGAATTTACATACAAAGAAGACAAAATGTCCCAACTCACCTACCACTTGCAGTATTTGTTCAATATCCTGCTGCATTTTTACCTTAACAACCCCTTTCTATTCCTATGTAAAAGATTAAGATTTAAACCAATTTTTAATAAGTTAAAATCAATATTAATGAAGAAAAGTGTCTAAAGCTACTTTAAGTTGGCCAATGGTGTTGTTTTCCTTATGCATTCAAAGGTACCTATACACATGCCAAAAAAAAAAAAACAGCTTTGAAAAATGTACTGATCAAATTAAATTTTTTATCTTATAAATGTTTTTCAATTAATACCAATAATTCATACTTCTCTTAGATTTCATTTTCTTCCTCTTCAAAGAAAAAATCCTACTAAACAGAACAAGTACAAGTGATCAAGACCAAAGTACAGCATTACGATAATGGAACATAAAGGAATTCTGTTTCATGTAATTCTAAACTTGGGATTCCAGTACTGTTTTGTTCTTGGTAGGTTTAAGCTTAATACTTCCTTAATTTCTGAAAAATCTCTTTCTTATTGAAAGGTTGTTTACTAGCAATACTCTGCAAGATGAGGAGAAGGTCCACCATGAAAAGCCATCAGTCCTACACATACAAAATGTGCCAAGCCATGTGTGTTACTAGGGTGCAGTTGAGCTACCAACACAACGCTTAAAACCATTGATATTTTTTCAGACAGGTGTCTGTCTCCTGCCTTCAGGTACAGTTGTTCATTTCATCCAGAAGTCTATCTGCAAGTGCTGAAATAAGGGGGGAGGGAAGACCTCTGTCCATACCAAACTGTCTAGCAACTGCACTTGGGCTGTCATCCTGTAATAGTTAATCGTTTATATCACTAATAACCCTTGAAATGCCCAACTTAACCATATGGGGAGCTGCTGGAAAATGCATATTCAAATAGACAATTTTATCAGTAAGGGATTTAACTGACAAACTAACTGCAAGTAAAACTTCAAATTTATCATCATCAATTTGCAAATTTACCACTACCGATTCACTTACTTCATAAAATATGAAACTGTACATTTGCCCATCTTTGTCTTCAAATTCCACTCTGAACATTTGCTCCTTTTGATTAGTCTGTTGATCTGAAAAAAAAAACAATTTAAAGAATGCAGCACTTGAGACAAATGAGAAAATCTCTTGCAGCAAAGATAATCTTTAACATCAACCCTAAAACCGAAATTATTTGCTTACCTGACTTCGACTTCGGGGGTGGAACATACGGCTGAATTTCTGGTCTCTTTGACTTGGAAGTGGTTTGTTTCTTGTCGCCTATTTTAGCCTTCACTTCTTTGTCGTATTCATCTCTGCAAAAGAGTACTAATTCAACGTACAGAATAATAATAAGAGTAACTGGATGAAATTATTTTTACAATTCTGGCACCTTCTTCTAGAGATTAACCATCAGACAAGGTATTCTCAAACATGACACACGAGTAGTGTCACACTTTCAAGAATGTTTAAAAGTAAAATTTTGCCTTTCATGTTATAAATATTTCCTCAGAGAGACTTAATGAAGGCAGTGAAATCGTCATAAAAATCCACAGTTTGCTGGTTGTCATTGCTTCTTAGTACCTAGCAACTTGGTTTCTGACTATGCTCTTCATAAAGCCATGTTTCATATCCAACTTAGCTTTCGCTGCCATCTGCAGCGAACAGCTGATGCGTTAAACGTCATCAAGATATGTGCAGATTTTTTATTGGCAGAATCTGATTATTTATGAGTTTTTATTCTAATGTTTTAGCTAAGTAATATTTCTAACACTAATTTATGCTTCGGAGAGCATTATATGGTATATTTGAACATAAAATATAGAAATCTGCTCATTGCATCAAAAAGTGATGACGGAAGCACAAAGCAGTCGACAGAAGCATGGCCACCAAAGAAGAAGCGGCCAAGCGGCCACTTAGTGATGACGAGGAAGAGAATGAGCCAGGTACGCATTTTTTTGTATTTCATTAAGTTGGAGTTGCCTAGTTACCGTGATTCCGTACACCTACCAGTGGTGATAAATCTATGCATTGCTTGATCTGTTTGTAGCGCCAACGATTTTTGAAGTTACGCCGGTTGGCTGCACTGCACTGTCTGCAGTTGTTTTGCCCGTTTTGCCTCTTGATAACTAGAAGTAGATTACATGAACGCGTAATTGATGACAAACATGTAGTGTTCCGAATAAATTAGAGACAGAACCCTCCTTCTTCCACATAAAAATACTATGCAGATAAAGCCATAATGAGGAAAAGAAATATCATTTTAGTTCCATTTTTACCAATGATTTTATTTAATAGTATTCAGTATTAGCATTGGAGTGAAATTGTTATGTATATGTCATATACATACATATATATTCATACATATATACATACATATGCAACAAATGATACCCAACTTCTGTATAATTATGATGACTATCAGCAGTAAAAAGGTAAATGGATAGTCAGACTGTCATTGGGAGAACTAAACTAGAACTAAACTGTACAAGAAGATACTACCTGGTGGATAATATATATATATATATACACACACTTTAACGAGTAAGGCTCAGAAGTTTTATTTGATATTATTTGCAGTAATAACACGAAAACACCAAAAAGTAGATAGCAGAAGTCGGATGTGCCCATATTTGGATACTATTAACAGGTATTTGTGATTTAGTGGGATATTTTACTGTTTTGAAAAAGAAGTCTACTTGCACTTTCATTATATTGTTTTATTAAAAGGTTATATAACTTTAACTTAACAATTTATATTTTTATTTTGGTTAAATGTTTGTTGGCGTTTTTTGTACCTTTTCACTTAACATCACTTAATAGGTGTAATTCATTTTCAGATCTGTATTAGACTTTGACTTTGAAAAACTATGTTCAGTGTCTCTTTCCCATTTGAATGTTTACGCTTGTCTTGTATGTGGCAAGTACTTTCAAGGTAAGAAAAAACTGAAAACTTGTGTTTGGAATTGATCATATTTTTTCAGTATAGTGTTATAAGTGAGGTGTTAAATGTAACATACTAGTATTTACATGACTTGTTAAATTGTAAATTGATTATGAAATATTTTCATATTTTTTTAAAAGAGTGATCTAGTTTTTAGCAAGTATGTGTTAACAATTAAACATTTAAGCTGAAGATTTTCTTTCAATGAAGCTGAACCTTGTTGTGTTTCAGGCCGTGGGATGAAGTCTCATGCTTACACTCACAGTGTCCAAGATGGTCATCATGTGTTTTTAAACTTGGAAACTCACAAGTTTTACTGTTTGCCAGACAATTATGAAATCATTGATTCATCACTAGAAGATATCATTGTAAGTAATCATAATAACACAAGACTTTCTTAAGACTGAAAATTTTGTCAGATTTGTCAATGTGATAGATTTTGTCAGTGCAGAGAAATGGAAGAATCTGTAATTCTTTAAAACTCTGAGAGCTATTTATTTTTTGTCAGGTGTTCTTTATATTTCCTTGGTTGTTTAAGACTGTTAAGAAACCAGTTACTTATATAGTGTGGCCATTAAATTATTTCTGCATCACAGAATCTACAAGGTATATCTTTGCATATAGTCTTGTGACATGTAATGAAATTTAGATAGATTCTGATATTAACATTAATACTCTCTTTTGATTAAATTTTTTTCAGTATGTATTAAATCCAACATTCAAACCAGATCAAATTGTTGCTATGGACACAACTTCTAAGATGTCGAGAGCCTACGATGGCACCACATATTTGCCAGGTATGACAGAAGCTATATCTTTACCTGTTAGCTATGTTCAGTGAAAGGTTTCTTTTTCTAGGAAATGGAGAATATAGAAATTTTTGCAGTTTTTTTTCTTTTGTTCACTGTAATTTATTTCATAATGATATCTTTATCAATTATACCTTTATTGATTAAAGTGCTTACTGGAAAAATTTTAATAGAATAAAAATATGTGAATTTTGTTTTGGGTTGATTAGTTGTCAAGAAGCTGATACTGATGTTTGTTTACATCTCATTTGATTTATTTATAGGTATTGTTGGACTAAATAACATAAAGGCCAATGACTACTGCAATGTCATTTTACAAGTGAGTTAAATTTTTTGTTGTCAAGCAACTTTTCTAAGAATAGTTGAAAACATTTGGGAATAGATACTTATTTCTGTCTTCAGTAAGTGAATTAGTTTACTGTAACCTCAAAATTAAAGATGTGCTATAAAATACCTTGTTATTGTTTTATAATATGTATATATAATATCACATTCTATATGAAAAGTAATCCTATTTTAAGTGTTATAACATTGAGAGTGAAATTATGTTTGAATTATTTTGTATAGGCACTTTCTCACATACCATTGCTGAGGGATTATTTTTTAAGAGAAGAGAATTATAAGCAAATAAAAAGACCACCAGGAGATCAGATGATTTTCCTTGTGCAAAGATTTGGAGAATTGCTGAGAAAGTTATGGAATCCTAGGAATTTCAAAGCACATGTTAGCCCCCATGAGATGTTGCAGGCTGTAGTGCTATGTAGTAAAAAGAGATTTCAAATCACTGAACAAGGTAAATTTGTGCTGCAAAATTATTTGTATATTTTGAGAAATTTCTGTAAATAAAATCGAAATCAGGTCACCAAAACACTCATGATGTGCGGTAGAATTTACCAGAACTTGCCATTAAATTTTATCAACTATAATGTTACAACCAAAATTTAGATATTAAACCTTTCAGTAATTAATTTTTTATCTTGCCTTCTCTTTAAAGGTGATCCACTTGAGTTTATGTCTTGGTTCCTGAACTCTCTTCACCTTGCTCTAAATGGTGGAAAGAAACTGAGTAGCAGCATTGTCAACAAGACATTTAGGGGGTGCATGCGTGTTTATACCAGAAAAGTACCAGCAGTTGACATGGTGAGAAGAGTTATTTCATTATAGATTTAACAAAAAGCATGCTTCCAATGGCTTATCAAAAAGTATTAAGTTATAACTTGAAGTCTTTTGTATCAATTTGGTCTTTTTTGTTGGAATAAACATTATTATAAAATGACAAATAATTTTGCTTTTTCTCTTTTTCAGAAAGAAGAAGAGAAACAACAGTTGCTCCTACAAGAGGAGTACCAAGGTAATGCATTTTCCATTTTTACCATTTTCAAAATACCCCAGTCCTTGACAATTTCATTGTGAATAATTTTTTTTTTAATATTTTCAGTTTTGCTATTGTGTAAAAAGTTGTTTAAAAGCACATAGTTTAAGGGTTATAGTATCATAAAATGAACCATTTTTCTTGTGTCCACTAGTAATGACATATTGGAACATTTATGATCATATGACAAAAAATAAATTTCATGTCAATCTTCACAGTGCTTTGTAAATTTTGTGGCAAGTGTCCTATTTTATCATTTCAGTTAGTTTTCACCTTTATGTTCTTAATGTTTGTATAATCCTTTTATCACTAACATGTAAAACTTAGCCTATGGGTTGTGATTTCATTATTATTATTATTATTATTATAACTGAAGTTAATTTTCCAATGCAGAGAGAGTGGAAGAATCTCAGTTCCTATACCTGACCTGTGACCTCCCTCCCCCGCCTCTCTTCCCAGATGAGCTTCAAGAAAACATCATACCACAGGTCCCACTGTTCAACATTTTGTCGAAGTTTAATGGGATAACAGAAAAGGAATACAAGACATACAAGGATTCTACAATGAAAAGATTTGAGCTGACCAAATTGCCACCATGCATTATATTGTACATAAAGGTAAGTGTCACTGTTGTATGTTATATGTTTGTTTAAGCTCCATGTTATTTATTTTCATCTAACCCCACCCGTTCAGGAAAAAAAGTTATTTTCTCTTGTGATCAGTCGAGTTTTTTTCCAGAGATTCACAAAGAATACTTTTATCTTGGAGAAGAATCCAACGATTGTCAATTTTCCAGTCAAGTAAGTTTAATTTTCCTTTATTTTTCAGTCATTTGTTGTGCAAGTAAAAAATAGAAAATGGACCAAAAAAAGTCACATTGAGTATGATGAATCATTTACAGTTATTTAAAAAATTGAAGATATCCAGTTCAATTTCAGTTCAATATTTGAAATTATTGATTAAATATTATGTATTATTATTATTATTATTATTATTATTATTATTATGCTTGCCTAGGAATGTAGATTTTGGAGACTTGTTAGCACCTGAAGTGAGACGGAAGCACAAACACACTGTGTATGACCTTGTGGCCAACATAGTCCATGACGGAGAGACGGGGTCAGATAAGGGCACGTATAGAGCACACATTCTACACAAGGTAACAGAATAGGCTTTATTAAAGGCAAACAATACTTGTTAGACATTTATTAAGCCAAAAAAAAAAAAACTTAATTTTCCTAGAAATTTCTGCATTATTCTTGAATTACTAACTTAAAGGAATATCCTATCCAAACTTATTTTTGAGTTGTGAATTTCTATTTTTATCAGTCTGAGCGAATTGGTGCCACTAAAAGAGTGACTCTGAAATAAGAATCTCAATATTGGAAAATCATAACTTGGCAAAGTTTTTTGGTTATAATGTATCTTGGTGATAAAGAGTAAGTGTTGGATTCTCCAGGAAAATTAGTTTCTTGTTATGTAGAAAAAACTCATTGCATTCCATTAACTGCTGTTGCAAGAAGGTATAAGCTCTAACCATGTAGCTGATGAATTTATTTGGTTGCAAACATGGACAATTCTAATAATAAGTGATACTGATATTGGAAGCTTGTTGGTTGAAATTCCATGTTTCACAGGTTGAAAAAAAGTTATTTAAACAAAAGTAAGTCTTTTTTTTGTTAATTACTCTACTAATGTAAATGTGTTTATTTTATGATATTGCCAATTGTTTTCTAAGTATAAAATACACAATTTAAACTTACTTTAATCCAGGGCAATGGAAAGTGGTATGAAATGCAAGACCTTCATGTTGTGGACATTCTTCCTCAGATGATTACATTGTCAGAGTCTTATATTCAGGTATTTCACAACTATGTCACTATTGTTGTTAAATAATTTTAATTATATCTTGTTAAAACAAATTTGATTTTGCATTTTGATTTTAGATATATTTCTTGATAATTTCTAACTTTTTTGTGATCATCTGTAATTTTGTGCCCCTCCTTTTGACCATTTTTATTTTTTATGTCAATTTGATAGTTTTAATGCCCAGATTGATACCTAATACACAAGGCAATACATTTCAGATATATGAGGTCAGGAAGGACATTGTTAACAGACCTCCACCAGCTGATTCACAGAATGGGAGTAATAATGGATGATCTTTTGAGTGTTTTAAATGAAAAGTCTCCAAGTGACCACAGCTTTCAACATTAGCTCTCACTGAAAGTAATTTCTTAACAGAATCATAAAATCCTCTGGACAAGTGATTTTCTAGGATTACCCTTTGTACCCAAATAAAGACATATTAGATCAATTGTGAATATGTATTATTATTAGATTTCTAAAGTAGTGTGTAGAATTGACATTATCTTATATAGTATGAAGAGTATAAATCTACAGCGTAGAGATGAAGAATTGAAAAGTTGCTTAATTATCAGTATCTGAATACACCGAGTGTTACCAATGTTGAGAATGTTATCAAGGTGATATCCGATTACTACATTTATCTGATTTTAAATGTTGTGTAGATTATACAAAAGGATGACAGTTACCTTAAAGCGATGGACTCCATTGAAACCATGTAGTGTCATCAACAAATATTGTACAGCCAGTCTTTATTTCAAATGTAGTTTTTATTTTGTATTTCGTCTTTTTTTTTTCATAAAGATTTATCTAAATAAAATTCAGTATTTATAGTACTTTCATTGATCACAAAATATATTCATATGAACTTTTTATCATGCAAGAGACTGCCAGCTCCAGTAGTAAATGCCCTTTATTTCCATATTAATACAAAAATGCATGCTAACAAGCCCTGCCAAAATGCAGATTTCACTCATTTTAATTAAAATTAAAAAAACAAAGATATATCACACCAATTCATTAATTTAAAAAAAAAAACATATATCACACCAATTATTAAAATATACATTTAAGTCATATTAAATCCTCTTTTTTACAGGCATAAATTCTATGCATTTTTAAATATTAAATAAAATCTGTATCATTTCAAATTAGTTGATAATTTCAATTTACATAGGCCTGTAGGCAGGAGAGGTGGTTGTAAATGAAACACCCTTTTGGAAAGGGAAAGGTCTGTTTCAAGCCAATTTTCATTAATATGGTAATATTGTAAATATGGTGAAAAGGTTCACCTTTTGGAATAAAAAAATTGCTGACTGCAGACCTGCTACATGCATATATACAGCTAGTATTTCATACAATTAATTTTAAAAAGTTCTTACGAGCAGTACCACTTCTTTTTTCATACTAGCATGTCCTTGACAAATTTTGCCCCTTCATTTGGGGAAATGAGATAAGATCAGCTGCTTGTCTGGATTTTTCTCCTAGTACCTTTTTCAATAGATGTTAAAGATATTATCAAATATATCTCAACAGAATGTGTATTTTTACTGAAAGAAAAGTGCACCATCCATCCCCCCTCTCCAAATTCCTTCTGTAAATGTTCACGTAACAGCTTGCTGTGCTAAAAACTTGAACACAAAGTATCTATGGTAGACTGCTTCAGCTGAAGACCAATGGAATCCAGATAATGAAAGAACCTGGAGACAAAATATATATATAAAGTGGTTTCATAATATGTTAAATTTACTGAGTGTTGCATCAAATGCTTCAAGGGTTAAAACAAGTATTCCTAAAAAAACTTTCAAATGGAGAAAAAGTTGTAAGGACACCTTGTAGTTTCAGACAACACATACCTTCTTTTAGCTTTAGCAGACTTTCTAAACTGCTCCATTTTGCACACTGTTCTCAACATAGGAACATAATCCTTAGCAACAGCTGTCTTCTGACTTAGTAAATAGGTTGGAAGACTGGACATGATGTTCTCTGTAGCTTTCTTCTTTCCAAGAGTACAACTTCATATAAAGATGAAATAGTATGAACATCACATTTTTCAAAGCACTGACACGTGATGCATTCCAAATTGTAACCTAGCATGCATTTTACAAAACATTATAACACATTATTTATAACATGCAACAAGAGTTATATAGTTAACAAAAATTGACAGGCAAGTTATTATGTCTTGTTAGACCTATGCATTCAACCATAAATGTTAAAGTGTTAAAACTGTTGAATGTTCAAATGCAAATCTTTCTAAAAGTACAATACAGAACACCAACCAAAAAGCACATATGTATTACATATACCTGAGCTGGGCATTGGTCACCTCTTTTAACTTGATGGTGTTTGGTCTAACTGGTAACTCAGCAGGAATCTGAACCGTGGACAGGGCTAACTCCTGGTCAGCAGCATTAAGACTCTTCACTCCAGCCATCACCTGTGATAGTCCCCGAGACAAATTCTGGAAACTTGCCAACTTGCTTGAAACGACCAGATCTTCCAAAGTGCATTTGCTTTGTTCTTTGAATTCATCACAGCAAGATGGCATCTTGTCCAAAAGACCTTGAAATTCTAAACCTGGATAAGGATGACAGTCCAGTCTGTCTGCTGAGGCTCCCCTGTGTAAGACCATATAAGAATCCATGTATGAGCAATTGTCATAGTAATCTGAAAAAGCTTGTATGCTTTGGTTTAATAGAACATCGACCCGTGGGTTTCTTTCTGTGCTGTCACTTTGTACAAGGGCTTCTTTGTCACTTTTTTCGCCTACAGGTCCCCTACTTTCATGTGACTCCTTTGAGGTTGATGTGCTATCAGTGGACAAAGTCGAAAAGTCTGATCCCTCACAGTCAAATACATCGTCTAACATTCTTTTCCTCTTCTTGTCCATCTCGACTTCATTTGGCATGAGTAACTGGACATCATAAGATGGTGCTGACCATTCTGTCTTTGGTAAAGGTAATAGGGGGGCAATATTTGCTTGGATAATGTCAATACCAAGATGCTCAAAAATGTGAAGGATTGATTCTTTGCTGTAAATGTTACCTGCTTCCTGAAAATGTTTGGAATATCTTCATTAATTTTAAACTAAAACCAGTTTGCTATTCACTAGATTGACTTTCATTTGAAAAATATAATTTGAGTTATGCTGATTCAAGAATGTCATAATATTGAATTAATCATGAAATTTCTAAAATAAATATGTGAGATTGAGAGACTTGCCTTGTTAACAAGCCAAATGGAGTAATTACAATGAACGAATGTCATCTTTTTTAAAAAACTCTTCATATAGTACCTACCTTCATGAAGCTGATCAAATTTTGTCCAGAAAAATTAAACTCATTAATTCCCATCACAGAATCCAAACAGTTCAGGTGTATTAGTGGTAAGTTCACATTTGTAATATTCAGTTCTGTTGTATCTTGGGTGTCCTCTGGGAACTGAGTACTGCTATTATCTGTTACAACTTCTGGAGGTAATTTTTGTATTGGCATACAAGGTAAACTACTTGAAGAATCCTCTTCAATGATTGGCACTTTCTTTAATTTTCTTTTCCTAGAAAATGTCACATCAAAATCATCATCTGTTTCCAGTTTTGAGTTATCAAGACAAATTTGATCATGTCCCTTGGATACCAGTTTTTTAATGGAAAAGCTACTTTCCTCTTGCTTTAATCCCCCACCAGATGTCAGCCAAAACTGGAGAGCCAAAATGGTTTGACGAATATCTCCATGATATAATTCTACAAGACTGTAAATGTCGCTGTAATCTGTCCTGAGATTCTCAGCAAGGCACATAACCTGTAGGTAGCTGGCAGTATTTTTCTGTAAGAAAAAGCACATGATACCACTGAAAGTCTCTAAATCAACTGTGTAGTACAAAATCATCTAAAAATTCAATCCAGAGTGCTACCAATTGTCCACAAAAAATTCTTTAGTTCATCACTGCATCAGCTATCATTAATTTTTTTCTAATCACATATGCAAATTTGAAATTAAGCTAATACTACAAATCCACATTAAGTTGTATTAGAAAGGAAAACACAGACTTGTAAACAAATACACCATTGTAGCAGTGATTACGTCCATTTGTACATACTATCTACCATCTACTATTGTAAACACAGTCTGCTTCAGTTCTGACTTCAAGGCACAATTGTATAATCTTGCTTGTGCTTTGGATGACTGGTGTTTCTTAACATTTTAGCATCCTGCAAAGTTTTTTAATACTATTATTTCAATATTTGAATCAAATCTTGATTCTTACCAGCGAAGGTGTCTTAAATACCAGCTGTTCATATTTTCCTTCAAACTTATCCGAAAAGTTGACATCAGAGGTGGTGAGGAGAATGGGGATCTTGGTGGTATCCATTATGGTTTGGATCGCTGCCCAGAAACCCTTGTCTTCTTCAAAAGCCACATCAACCTGTATCAAATGTGTATGTATATTTTGAATATTATTTCATTATTGCTCAAACATTTTATTGATCACAAATTCTTTAACTGTCCGAATTGTAATACCAATACAATGAATACCTATATGTAAAAAATATACACCAAGCTGCAAAGTCTCTTCTAGAAACTAACTGATTCTGATATGATTTCTATCAAAATGAATGCAACTGCTATACCTCTTCAAACAAAATAAGAGATGCCTTTGACAAGTTAAGTCCCCTTTTTGTTCCACCTTCCTGCGATGACCCTGTTTGTGACTGCACCATGGGGATCCCATCCTTGCCTATAAATACAAAAATTTTCTGCATTTCTCCTTTTTTCAATATGATACTTTATGCCACTAAACCTAAATTATCACGTCTATGATATTAAAATAAAAAAGCAATGAGAATGAATAAAGTAGTAACTGTTCACAATATTTCCGTTTTTCCAAATATTAACTTTTACCAAAAATACCAGTATTGTTCTAGACAAAATGTCAGATGGAGCATACCTTGCTTTTGGTCTGATTTTTTGCATTTTCTTGGAGAATTGTGAACAACTCTTGGTTCTTGCTTTTCTGTCCTCTTACTGGTTTTCTCCTTAGCTCCGTCCTTTCTTCCCAGTAAAACTGAATTCGCTTTTTTCTCATTTTTGCCTTGCCCGCTGCCACTGGCATCAAGGTGTTTTTCTTTATTTTGTGCACCAGAAGCCTTGCTAAAGAAGTTGGCAAATGTGGTAGGAAGTTTCTTCTCTGGTTTGGATGTTATTTTGGTTGTAGAGGCTAAATTCGAAATGAAAACATAAACATGCTCTTAACTGTATATACATTCAAGTGCTCTTTCCATTGCCAAAATCCCTTTTCTGTCAAAACTAAGCCTCATAAAAAAGTTTTATTTTCATCTAATCATTCAAAACCTTCATAGGAAATACATACAATGCACAGCTTCGCTGAACAATAAAACTATCACCAAAGATCTTGCCTTATATTTGTGCATTAAAATTATTTTTTATTCCCTTTCATCTGAGGAGTCTTATAGTCAAAACTCTAAAAGTCATATTTCACAATCTAATATTGTATATAGGTACACTTCAGCTACTGTCTCCAACCAAAACTTTAGTCTCTGTACACTCACCACTATCTCCAGTTGCCATGGTGAAAGGGTCGTTATTTTTCTCCAGATTTTTCTTGCACACCTGATGTGACTGCGTGGCCTCCTGCAGCTGAGAAATAATGTGCTTACCACTGCGTCTAGCAGAGGCATTCACTTCAAACACCTAAAATTGTCAAAGGTACTAGCTATTACTATCATAAAATAAATAAAAATGAAACATTTTAATCATGAATGTGTTTTCTTCATTTTTTGCAATTAATTAATTACACTTAAGCAACAGGAACTTTCAACAGACCATCTAACAAAATCTATCTGGACCTATCAAATATGTCACAAGTTTTCTTTTTTTAATAAAGCCAACATACATAATATACACAATAATAGGAAAGTAAAATGACCTGTTTTAGTTAACACTTATTTATGTCAATGCAACTAGCCAGCAGGTTTCTTAATAAACTCTTTAATTGTTATTTATTTATTAATTTTTTTTTTTTGGGGGGGGGGGGGGAGTAAGCAGCTGGTTCATATGCACAGCAATCACTTCAACATTATCAGAATTGTTTTATCCATTCAACAAGTGCCCTATGTCACCTTATATCCTAGTTCCCTGGCTAAAGCATGTACTGTGGCAGTTTTGCCCACTCCTTGTGGCCCCTGAATCAGCATAGTGTTACAATAGTTTTCTTCTTCATAATCACTTTCTGCAGTGTCACTCACAGCGAAATCACTTTCATCGTCTGTCCACCAATCTTGGGAGCCTGGAAAAAGTTAATATCTCAAGTAAAAATCACTCTGAAAATTACTCACTTTTTCCTAGCATCTTTCTGGATAATTGTTTAGTTCCTTATGGTACAACTGTTAATAAAGTGAAGACTTTTGAGGTTACTTGAAATATAAAGTGCCATACCTTATATTCTTAGGTAAACCATGTGATGCTTAATTATTTTACTGTAAATACCAGTATTAAAATTGAAACAAAGTTTGGGCTAGTGGCTCAAAACTGAAGAGTTTGGTTTGCACAATTTCATTATGACAATATGAAGACATAAGAAAATACCTTCTTTGATTTCTTTGTTCTTTAAATCTGCCTTCTTCTTTAGTTTGGCTTCTTTCTGCATCAACTTCTGCAGTTTCCTGGCATCCCTGTCCATTCTGTGTTTCCAGTCCATTAGCCAGGTCTTGAGGCGAGCCACAACACTGGTGTTACCTATGACATCTGCCGCATTCGCTGGCAAGTACTTCTCAGTCCACATCAACTCCTTTTCATTTACCACTGTAATGAGAATATACATACAACTCAAATAACAATGATCAAACACAAGGCTGAAAGTACTAGGAAAACAATTTCAGTGTTTTTCAACCTTTACGTAAAATGATAATTAAGCTACCATAATATGCAACAAAACAGTAGATGCATTTGTAATCAGCATAACATTAACAGCATATGCATCAATGTGTTAACTCTATACATCTTTATGTTCAAATAGATTATCATAAGGTAAATTCACATGCCACTAAAATTTCAGTAATCCTCACCTTCATTGTCCATTTTTGCAGGAACTTTAGGTTTCTCTGGACTGTCACCTAAAACAATACAGTCATTTTCTTTGGATGAGTCCCTTTCGTATCTAAGGGCCTCAGTTTCTTCAGGATCACTTGTGGAGGTCTGTAACCTGCTAGATCTTCTTCTGGAACTCCTGCCCTCCTTGTGTAGAGAGGGAGAAGAGCCTGTGGTGTCTTTTTTCCTCTTCTTCCTATTGTTTGACTCAACTTCCACAGCGTCCTCAGTATCAGGTTGCTTTCTTTTTTTGCTCTTTGCTCCACCATTTGCTTGTTTCTTTTCCTTATCTGTTTCTGCATCTGGTTCTGGTATATGGCGTCTGCTGAGATATGACTTATACACTCTTTTCACAGGAAATCCCTGGTTTGCTGCAGCTATCTCTGATAGTATGACCTTAACAACATCTTCACCCAATTCTCTGTGGCCTACAAAATTCTGAAAAAAAAAAAAAAGCAAAAAGTACATAATTAAGTAAACTTTTGAGATATCTACACAATCAATTCTTTAATCTGTTTTTTTAAATGAACATCTGAAATTTATTGGGCTCATTCTCCAAAAACCTTTCAATAAATATTCCAATTTTCTATAGCAAAGCTTAATAATAATAATTATGTTTAGAATTGGTGTACAATCTATATCCAGTTTAACCAGACTCAACTTAAATGATTAAGTTTTTCAAGGAACTTGGAATTCCTTTATCAATAACTAAAATAACATCTTTCTCATACCTGGTCTACCTTTTTATAACCAAGGTCAATTATTTCTGAAAACATGCCGGTTGTCAAAGGCTTTGTCTCATCAACTCTATTAAATTCACAATTTGGGGGACGAAACTTTACAGGCAACTGTGGAGTAGAAAGGTTCCAAAAATGTTGAACCTCTGAGGCAGTATAAATTTTCTGCTGCACATGGTTGTCTTTTGGAAAAGGAGGGTAATCGGCAGCAACTGTGGAAGCACCAAGAGATGACTGCTTCTTTAGGGGTTCTGGGACACTGCTCAAGAGAAACTGTCTTCTGGCCTAAAATCAAATAATTTAAAATAGATCAAATTTCTCCTTAAAAAATGCCCATATGGATGACAGCTTTCAATCTTACGATGGATATGAGAACCATGGCCAAAAAAGAGAAAAGAATTTTCAATACAAAAGAGATCATCCAGATAACTCTTAGCACTTAATTGCATTTTATTTAAAGATAAAGCAATTTAAGATGTATTTTATCATGATAACAAGCTTCAATAACAAATTAATTATCAGCATTCAACACAACAAAATATTTTAAGATTTGTGGTACAAGTAAGAGAGGTTCACCTGCAGCGCTGCTTCCTCCTCCTTGGTGAGTTTCTTTCTTGGTTTCTCCTCTGGCTTCTTTTCTTTGGCATCTCGTCTTGGTTGAAAGATCGAAGCAAGCTTAACTGCTATTGAATTAAAAATTAAGGACCATCTATAGCACAAAGAATGGACTTCCATCACACATCAGCATCATGAAACACACTTAAGATACAACTGACAAAAATAGTTATTTTCTTTACAGCTTGAATAAGCATCCATGATTTCCAAGTTCAGTGAAGTGACAAATGATTTCTTAGTAACCAAGTTGAATTTTGTACAAGCCTTACAGTTACAAAGTTTATAAGTTTATTATAACTGATTTGAGCCAAAATGTTCAAACATAATTGAAGTTATGGTTGCCTTTCAGAAGGACTGTACTGCACTCATAACAAATGAGTCATAATAAGGTTACAGAATCATTCATCTTTCCCAGTCCTTGATTTTTAATTTCCTATGCTGGGGTAGCGCTAACACTTGCCAATTTAGCCAAATGCTAAAACTGACTTAAATTGGCTAAAGAAAAAGGGCTATGTTTGACATGTTTTAGCCAAATTATAACCATTTTGATAACAAAATGACAAAAATGCGGTGATTTGGCTAAGCGAAAAAAATTGCTCGCGCTACGCCAGCTATGTATAACATTATAACAAATCTATACACAATTAAAATGATAGTTTCTCAGTATGTATTTTTAAAATTTCTTATCTTTATATGTCAATATAATGTACATCATCACTAGTACATGTCATATGTTAAAGAAATTCATTCGTTATTTCTTTTTGCTACCTTTTTGACATAATTTTACCTTTCTTGGGAGTTTTCTTTTTAGGCGTATCTCCTTGTTTTGGCTTGGAACACTTATCCTTTACTTTGATAACAGTAATTTCTTCTTCCTTGCCATCTTTTGACTTTGACCGTTTTGTGCTCTTCTTTCCCTCTGACTCTTGCAACAATGCTTGGTTGGCTAACTGAGCACTGTGTCTGGACGAACGGCGTACACCACATACTTTTTCTTCATTGTGAGCACTTTTGCCACCTTTGGATTTCTGCTTAGATTTTATTTTAGTGGATTTAGTTTTGGCTTTTTGGAGCAACTCTTGAGCTTTATTCTTTTGCTGGATACTGATCTGAAAAATACAGTACAGCAAACTTCATGCATTGTAATGTCTATTTCTTAAAATCATTCAATCCTTCATCAAATGGTGATACAACTAGAAATTTAGTTGCCCAAAAGACAACAAAAACTGTTTGAGAGAAATAATATAAAGTTAAATAAAAGATAAATAAAAATTATCAACAAAAATATTTTTCAATAAATTTATAATATGAACAGAGCACACATCATAATACCTTTGCTTTAATGTTTGCATTTTTGGAAGACTTTGGGGTAAATACTGCATCTTCCTCCAAATCAGTATTTTTTCCTCTCACCCTGGAGAAAAATATTCAGTTGAGAAATATAAATTTCATGATGACAACAGTATACAAATTTCAGTTATGTGAATATACAACTGAATACTTCTCGAGTTCATTTCAATTTTTTTAGTTAACCTACTTCTATTAAAGATTCTGACAGCAAAGAAAGTACTGTAATACATAATTATATAAGTAGTTACAACTAAACAAAAAAATGTTAGGGACCTAAAATTACATCAGAACACATCATATTAGCTTTTGAAAGAGTTACAACTTCTCCCAGGCAAAAAGATAAGCTAATGAAACAACAAAGGGGAAGTGGGGCATCCAGGGAAATTATTTGCAGCAAGTTTATGCTCAGCTGATAAAAATAATTTAAAATTAATGTAACTTACCTTGTGATGGTCATTTTCAGGCCACCATCTTTTTTCTTATTCATTTTTGCCTTGAAAACACTTTTTAATGCCTTTTTCTTGGTGGAGTCTGGTTTTAAACTGCTCTTTGTCTGTCGCAATGGAGTTTTCCTTGGGGTAGAGTCATGTGAATCTTCATCTACCGACATGCCTATATCATGTGTTGTCATAACATCCACAGATTTATTCCCTGTCATATTGTGCATTTTCTTCACAATCTTCGGAGGTGTTGCAACCACAATGTCATCGCCAATTTTTTTCTTTTTCTGTGAGCTTCCCATTCTGACAGTTGCTGAGATCTGAACATCATGCTTTCTTTTTCCAGTTTCCCTTCTTTTTAAGGGTGTGGCATTCGAATCCTCACTATTCACATAAATGGACTTCTCATTCTTCGTNTTATTTCAATATTTGAATCAAATCTTGATTCTTACCAGCGAAGGTGTCTTAAATACCAGCTGTTCATATTTTCCTTCAAACATATCCGAAAAGTTGACATCAGAGGTGGTGAGGAGAATGGGGATCTTGGTGGTATCCATTATGGTTTGGATCGCTGCCCAGAAACCCTTGTCTTCTTCAAAAGCCACATCAACCTGTATCAAATGTGTATGTACATTTTGCATATTATTTCATTATTGCTCAAACATTTTATTGATCACAAATTCTTTAACTGTCCGAATTGTAATACCAATAAGTGAATACCTATATGTAAAAAATATACACCAAGCTGCAAAGTCTCTTCTAGAAACTAACTGATTCTGATATGATTTCTATCAAAATGAATGCAACTGTTATACCTCTTCAAACAAAATTAGAGATGCCTTTGACAAGTTAAGTCCCCTTTTTGTTCCACCTTCCTGCGATGACCCTGTTTGTGACTGCACCATGGGGATCCCATCCTTGCCTATAAATACAAAAATTTTCTGCATTTCTCCTTTTTTCAACATGATACTTTATGCCAGTAAACCTAAATAATCACGTCTATGATATTAAAATAACAAAGCAATGAGAATGAATAAAGTAGTAACTGTTCACAATATTTCCGTTTTTCCAAATAAACTTTTACCAAAAATACCAGTATTGTTCTAGACAAAATGTCAGATGGAGCATACCTAGCTTTTGGTCTGATTTTTTGTTTTTTCTTGGAGAATTGTGAACAACTCTTGGTTCTTGCTTTTCTGTCCTCTTACTGGTTTTCTCCTTAGCTCCATCCTTTCTTCCCAGTAAAACTGAATTCGCTTTTTTCTCATTTTTGCCTTGCCCGCTGCCACTGGCATCAAGGTGTTTTTCTTTATTTTGTGCACCAGAAGCCTTGCTAAAGAAGTTGGCAAATGTGGTAGGAAGTTTCTTCTCTGGTTTGGATGTTATTTTGGTTGTAGAGGCTAAATTCGAAATGAAAACATAAACATGCTCTTAACTGTATATACATTCAAGTGCTCTTTCCATTGCCAAAATCCCTTTTCTGTCAAAACTAAGCCTAATAAAAAAGTTTTCTTTTCATCTAATCATTCAAAACCTTCATAGGAAATACATACAATGCACAGCTTCGCTGAACAAAGAAAACTATCACCAAAGATCTTGCCTTATATTTGTGCATTAAAATTATTTTTTATTCCCTTTCATCTGAGGAGTCTTATAGTCAAAACTCTAAAAGTCATATTTCACAATCTAATATTGTATATAAGTACACTTCAGCTACTGTCTCCTACCAAAACTTTAGTCTCTGTACACTCACCACTATCTCCAGTTGCCATGGTGAAAGGGTCGTTATTTTTCTCCAGATTTTTCTTGCATACCTGATGTGACTGCGTGGCCTCCTGCAGCTGAGAAATTATGTGCTTACCACTGCGTCTAGCAGAGGCATTCACTTCAAACACCTAAAATTGTCAAAGGTACTAGCTATTACTATCATAAAATAAATAAAAATGAAACAAATTTCAATCATGAATGTGTTTTCTTCATTTTTTGCAATTAATTAATTACACTTAAGCAACAGGAACTTTCAACAAACCATCTAACAAAATCTACCTGGACCTATCAAATATGTCACAAGTTTTCTTTTTTTAATAAAGCCAACATACATACTATACAAAATAATAGGAAAGTAAAATGACCTGTTTTAGTTAACACTTATCTATGTCAATGCAACTAGCCAGCAGGTTTCTTAATAAACTCTTTGTTATTTATTATTATTATTATTTTTTTTTTTTTTTTGGGGGGGGGGGGGTAGTAAGCAGCTGGTTCATATGCACAGCAATCACTTCAACATTATCAGAATTGTTTTATCCATTCAACAAGTGCCCTATTTCACCTTATATCCTAGTTCCCTGGCTAAAGCATGTACTGTGGCAGTTTTGCCCACTCCTTGTGGCCCCTGAATCAGCATAGTGTTACAATAGTTTTCGTCTTCTTCATAATCACTTTCTGCAGTGTCACTCACAGCGAAATCACTTTCATCGTCTGTCCACCAATCTTGGGAGCCTGGAAAAAGTTAATATCTTAAGTAAAAATCACTCTGAAAATCACTCACTTTTTCCTTGCATCTTTCTTGATAATTGTTTAGTTCCTTATGGTACAACTGTTAATAAAGTGAAGACTTTTGAGGTTACTTGAAATATAAAGTGCCATACCTTATATTCTTAGGTAAACCATGTGATGCTTAATTATTTTACTGTAAATACCAGTATTAAAATTGAAACAAAGTTTGGGCTAGTGGCTCAAAACTGAAGAGTTTGGTTTGCATAATTTCATTATGACAATATGTAGACATAAGAAAATACCTTCTTTGATTTCTTTGTTCTTTAAATCTGCCTTCTTCTTTAGTTTGGCTTCTTTCTGCATCAACTTCTGCAGTTTCCTGGCATCCCTGTCCATTCTGTGTTTCCAGTCCATTAGCCAGGTCTTGAGGCGAGCCACAACACTGGTGTTACCGATGACATCTGCCGCATTCGCTGGCAAGTACTTCTCAGTCCACATCAACTCCTTTTCATTTACCACTGTAATGAGAATATACATACAACTCAAATAACAATGATCAAACACAAGGGTGAAAGTACTAGGAAAACAATTTCAGTGTTTTTCAACCTTTACGTAAAATGATAATTAAGCTACCATAATATGCAACAAAACAGTAGATGTATTTGTAATCAGCATAACATTAACAGCATATGCATCAATGTGTTAACTCTATACATCTTTATGTTTAAATAGATTATCGTAAGGTAAATTCACATGCCAATAAAATTTCAGTAATCTTCACCTTCATTGTCCATTTTTGCAGGAACTTTAGGTTTCTCTGGGCTGTCACCTAAAACAATACAGTCATTTTCTTTGGATGAGTCCCTTTCGTATCTAAGGGCCTCAGTTTCTTCAGGATCACTTGTGGAGGTCTGTAACCTGCTAGATCTTCTTCTGGAACTCCTGCCCTCCTTGTGTAGAGAGGGAGAAGAGTCTGTGGTGTCTTTTTTCCTCTTCTTCCTATTGTTTGTCTCAACTACCGCAGCGTCCTCAGTATCAGGTTGCTTTCTTTTTTTGCTCTTCCCTCCACCATTTGCTTGTTTCTTTTCCTTATCTGTTTCTGCATCTGGTTCTGGTATATGGTGTCTGCTGAGATATGACTTATACACTCTTTTCACAGGAAATCCCTGGTTTGCTGCAGCTATCTCTGATAGTATGACTTTAACAACATCCTCACCCAATTCTCTGTGACCTACAAAATTCTGAAAAAAAAGCAAAAAGTACATAATTAAGTAAACTTTTGAGATATCTACACAATCAATTCTTTAATCTGGTTTTATAAATGAACATCTGAAATTTATTGGGCTCATTCTCCAAAAACCTTTCAATAAATATTCCAATTTTCTATAGCAAAGCTTAATAATAATAATTATACTTAGAATTGGTGTACAATCTATATCCAGTTTAACCAGACTCGACTTAAATGATTAAGTTATTCAAGGAACTTGAATTCCTTTATCAATAACTAAAATAACATCTTTCTCATACCTGGTCTACCTTTTTATAACCAAGGTCAATTATTTCTGAAAACATGCCGGGTGTCAAAGGCTTTGTCTCATCAACTCTATCAAATTCACAATTTGGGGGACGAAACTTTACAGGCAACTGTGGAGTAGAAAGGTTCCACAAATGTTGAACCTCTGAGGCAGTATAAATTTTCTGCTGCACATGGTTGTCTTTTGGAAAAGGAGGGTAATCGGCAGCAACTGTGGAAGCACCAATAGATGACTGCTTCTTTAGGGGTTCTGGGACACTGCTCAAGAGAAACTGTCTTCTGGCCTAAAATCAAAGAATTTAAAATAGATCAAATTTCTCCTTAAAAAATGCCCATATGGATGACAGCTTTCAATCTTACGATGGATATGAGAACCATGGCCAAAAAAGAGAAAAGAATTTTCAATACAAAAGAGATCATCCAGATAACTCTAAGCACTTAATTGCACTTTATTTAAAGATAAAGCAATTTAAGATGTATTTTATCATGATAACAAGCTTCAATAACAAATTAATTATCAGCATTCAACACAACAAAATATTTTAAGATTTGTGGTACAAGTAAGAGAGGTTCACCTGCAGTGCTGCTTCCTCCTCCTTGGTGAGTTTTTTTCTTGGTTTCTCCTCTGGCTTCTTTTCTTTGGCATCTCGTCTTGGTTGAAAGATCGAAGCAAGCTTAACTGCTATTGAATTAAAAATTAAGGACCATCTATATAACACAGAATGGACTTCCATCACACATCAGCATCATGAAACACACCTAAGATACAACTGACAAAAAGTTATTTTCCTTACAGCTTGAATAAGCATCCATGATTTCCAAGTTCAGTGAAGTGACAAATGATTTCTTAGTAACCAAGTTGAATTTTGTACAAGCCTTACAGTTACAAAGTTTATAAGTTTATTATAACTGATTTGAGCCACAATGTTCAAACATAATTGAAGTTATGGTTGCCTTTCAGAAGGACTGTACTGCACTCATAACAAATGAGTCATAATAAGGTTACAGAATCTATTTCATTCATCTTTCCCAGTCCTTGATTTTTAATTTCCTATGCTGGGGTATTGCTAACACTCGCCAATTTAGCCAAATGCTAAAACTGACTTAAATTGGCTAAAGAAAAAGGGCTATATTTGACATGTTTTAGCCAAATTATAACCATTTTGATAACAAATTGACAAAAATGCGGTGATTTGGCTAAGTGAAAAAAATTGCTCGCGCTACCCCAGCTATGTATAACATTATAACAAATCTATACACAATTAAAATGATAGTTTCTCAGTATGTATTTTTAAAATTTTTTATCTTTATATGTCAATATAATGTACATCATCACTAGTACATGTCATATGTTAAAGAAATTCATTCCTCATTTCTTTTTGCTACCTTTTTGACATAATTTTACCTTTCTTGGGAGTTTTCTTTTTAGGCGTATCTCCTTGTTTTGGCTTGGAACACTTATCCTTTACTTTGATAACAGTAATTTCTTCTTCCTTGCCATCTTTTGACTTTGACCGTTTTGTGCTCTTCTTTCCCTCTGACTCTTGCAACAATGCTTGGTTGGCTAACTGAGCACTGTGTCTGGACGAACGGCGTACGCCACATACTTTTTCTTCATTGTGAGCACTTTTGCCACCTTTGGATTTCTGCTTAGATTTTATTTTAGTGGATTTAGTTTTGGCCTTTTGGAGCAACTCTTGAGCTTTATTCTTTTGCTGGATACTGATCTGAAAAATACAGTACAGCAAACTTCATGCATTGTAATGTCTATTTCTTAAAATCATTCAATCCTTCATCAAATGGTGATACAACTAGAAATTTAGTTGCCCAAAAGACAACAAAAACTGTTGGAGAGAAATAATATAAAGTTAAATAAAAGATAAATAAAAATGATCAACAAAAATATTCTTCAATAAATTTGTATTATGAACAGAGCACACATCATAATACCTTTGCTTTAATGTTTGCATTTTTGGAAGACTTTGGGGTAAATACTGCATCTTCCTCCAAATCAGTATTTTTTCCTCTCACCCTGGAGAAAATATTTAGTTGAGAAATATAAATTTCATGATGACAACAGTATACAAATTTCAGTTATGTGAATTTACAACTAAATACTTCTGGAGTTCATTTCAATTTTTTTAGTTAACCTACTTCTATTAAAGATTCTGACTGCAAAGAAAGTACTGTAATACATAATAATTATATAAGTAGTTACGACTAAACAAAAAAATGTTAGGGACCTAAAATTACATCAGAACACATCATATTAGCTTTTGAAAGAGCTACAACTTCTCCCAGGCAAAAAGATAAGCTAATAAAACAACAAAGGGGAAGTGGGGCATCCAGGGAAATTATTTGCAGCAAGTTTATGCTCAGCTGATAAAAATGAATTTAAAATTAATGTAACTTACCTTGTGATGGTCATTTTCAGGCCACCATCTTTTTTCTTATTCATTTTTGCCTTGAAAACACTTTTTAATGCCTTTTTCTTGGTGGAGTCTGGTTTTAAACTGCTCTTTGTCTGTCGCAATGGAGTTTTCCTTGGGGTAGAGTCATGTGAATCTTCATCTACCGACATGCCTATATCATGTGTTGTCATAACATCCACAGATTTATTCCCTTTCATATTGTGCATTTTCTTCACAATCTTCGGAGGTGTTGCAACCACAATATCATCACCAATTTTTTTCTTTTTCTGTGAGCTTCCCATTCTGACAGTTGCTGAGATCTGAACATCATGCTTTCTTTTTCCAGTTTCCCTTCTTTTTAAGGGTGTGGCATTCGAATCCTCACTATTCACATAAGAGGACTTCCCATTCTTCATAGATTCATTTGTCTTTAGTGGTGTCATGAGCAAAACCTCTTCCTCCTCTTGTGGAGTTGCTGATTTAGATTTTTTACCTTTTTTGGTGGAAGAGGTTTCTTTACTATTTCTTTTAACTTTGTCTTGGGAATCATTATTTTCAGTGCAATTCTTCTTGACATCATTCTCTGCAGTCTCTTCCTTTGTTGGTTTTACGACTCCCATCTGAAATCCCTTAGCTGTGAACATAATGGTAGCTTGAGTGGATTTTTGACTGACTGGTGCTGTAGACTTGGAACTCAGGAAAGCTTTGGCACTTTCGCTAATCTGTTTTACTTGGCTTTCACTCGAGTCATGGCTTTCTCCTTGTAATATGTTTTTACTGGAATCATTAGGCATACAAGCCACATCTTTTTGGTCTCTGGTAGCTTTATTTTCATCAACAGGAATGTTTCGTGCCTTTTTGTCCAAGGCAATATCATAGGTGCCAAGTTGAATGATTTCTAAATCGAGATCATTTTCTTCAGCGATTACATTTGATCTTCTTTTTCCACTTCTTGGACTGGAACCATCACTTTTTTCACTACATTCACTAGTTTCTGAGGGTTTTGTTTTCTTTTTCTTTTCTTTTTTGATACTTGATAGAGATACAGAAGAATGCACATCAGCGGTTATAGTTAGTTGTTTGTGTATGGTCTTCTTTTCAAAGGACTGTGATCCTTCCCCTGTTTTCTTAAAAAACCTCCCTATCCCCAGCTGAGGTTTCTTTTCAGATGTCCCCCTGTCCATAATGTTCTCTTCATCACCACACGGACTTTCGTTTTTTGTTTCCTCTTCTCCTGCATTGGATGGTGGTTTTTGCTCTTTACTTTCAATGGGAGAGCCTGAAGCACTTTCTACAGAATTATCCTTAAGAAACTCCTGATAAGAGATCTCCATGTAAAGGGAACGAGAGGAATTAAAACCATCCTCTTCCATGGCTTTTTCATTTTCAGAATCCATATCACAATCTCCTGCATCAATAACACTGTCATTCTCGTTCAGTACTAGACTGCTCTTCTCTTTTGAGTCTACATCATCACAATTCATGCTCAAAAAATCCTGGTATGAAATTTCACAAACGTCCTCTTTGGACGCAGTCTTAGTTACCTCCGTCAGTTCTTCAGCTGAAGACTTCTGGCATATTTTGGATTTATCATCATCAAAAGGCAAGTCATTTTTTTCAATTTTCTTAGTTATGCAATCTTTCTTTCTCTTTGTCTTCTTTCCATGTACTGTCAGATGGGATCCATCATCTCCATCTGAAATATCATTTACTAATGCACTTGCTTGCTGAGCATCCTTCTCGGATACTATTGTACCTGATATTGAAGGGTTCTTTTGATTTCCATTTACAGCTTTAGCAAGTTTCTTTGATCTAGTCTTGCCTGTCTGTTTATCAACTTTCAATTCAGAAGAATCTACATCCTCATTTTTGGTCATGGTGGATTCTTTATCAGGTTTGTCTAATGGAGCAGCTGTAACCATTCCACCAGCACTTTGACTTACACTCTCTTTGCTCTTTAAACCCCCATTACAAGGTGGTGAGGATAGCTTGTTGAAGTAACCAAGCAATGTTGATTTATTCTCTATTACTGGTTGAGATTTTAAAGGTTTCTTGAAGAAATCTGTGATAGTTGCAATTTTCCGGCTGGGGGTTATGTCCTGATTTGCTGCAAGGCCTCCCTGGATAGAGAGAAAAGGTTATAACGAAACATATCCTACTGCTGCAATGATGCAATGTATGTTAAAAATGTGTGATTTTATTTCCTATCTACAAGCATATATATCATATGTATATATAAACTTATACAACCAACACCCTTCAATCAGTATATGTTTAGAAGAAAACATGCTTGGAAAGAGAAAACTTGTAGCAGAGCTTATACATACTCCTTCCTCTTTTTCTACCTTACTGCCACCCTCCATTGGTATTATCCCAGGCATCAGTATTTTCAGGCTAGAATAATTAAAAGGTATTCAAAATTATCTTTGCACACGAATGTGCCCCGTCCAAATAATTCATTTGTAATTTGACCAGTTCATAAAATTAAACATAAACAGTTGTTAAGCTAGTGCACTGATCTGAAGATAATGGTTTGTCAGGTAAGAAGGGATAGCAATTCGATATTATTTAAGAAATTGGTGGTGATCATCAAGCTTCACAGTTGTGTTATTTTTAAAAAGAAAACAAAATGACAGATTTATGGAATATTCTACAACTTAGTACCGCAGACCTACATTCGTACAATACAGACAATATTGATATGATTGAAAATGCTTTTCAGCAGAAAGCTACATGGTAATGTGAATGGGTCAACACTACATTTTAAGGGGACCTAAAGAAGTGTTACTTACTTTTTTAAACGACCTGATCTGCTGAGTGAAAACCTCTAAGGTTAAAACCGGCAGCCGATGAAAATATTCCTAACATAATAAATCTGGCGCGAAAAATATTCCAAACTAACCTTGACCTTGGTGGACAAACTGTATTCAGAGTTAACCAAACTATTCCGAATATACCTTCGATATATTGTTTTAATGTTTGATGTATCAAATTTACGCAAAAGAAGTTTAATCTACAATAAAAAATAACATTGAGATTAATTTACATTGAAAAACATACAGGAGCTACTTTTACTACAATTATTGGTGCTGCTTTTAACCAGACCAACCCACAACGCAACTCCGTCACGAGAAATAAGTTCCAAATATTATACATTTTTGTATCATCAAGCAATGCTCTAGACCCATTTGTTTATTATATGGACTTATATCTTAATATATATAATTTCATTATGTCACTATAAATTTAAGATATCATATCTATATCCAAACTCACTTTAACCAGGCGCATCAATATATCAGTAGCCCTACTTCTCCCTTTTCCCGCAAGCTGCCATCGTGTGACCACGTTGAGTAGGTTCCTCAAACTGATTTTAAGTTTGTTACGATGTTGCACAAGGTTAACCCATCATTTAAATGCATAAAAGGAGATAAGAACACCTTTTTTAGTTTAAAGTAAATAAATACATTTGAACCTTAATTCTAATGCGTTTTTCATTAACATACGGCAAGCACGTGTTAACCGACCGGCCGTTTTTCCCACAGGGCCACACACTTAGCCGTCATCATTTTATCTTTCGTTCTCTCTTTTCACTTCCCAGGTGGCTAATAGAACAAGATGCCGACAATTCCACTTGTGAGTAGCAAGACCTACACGACTCCTAGGCGTCCTTTTGAGAAGGAACGTCTTGATCAGGAGTTGAAACTGATCGGAGAATATGGTCTGCGCAACAAACGTGAAGTTTGGCGTGTAAAGTACACTTTGGCCAAGATCCGTAAGGCTGCCAGAGAACTGTTGACACTCGAAGAGAAGGACCCAAGACGTCTTTTTGAGGGTAAGAACCAGTGGCCACGGTCATAAGCCTTACGCATTGAATTACTTATTCAATTGACAAGTCTCATTATATTAATATCAGTCATATCTTATATATCCTATTTACAAGTCTAGATTGAAAAATGGCAGATACACCTTTAACATAATGTACAGTATTTGTGGTCATGTGCAGGGTGAAGGAGCAAATTCTATTGTTTGCCAAATGTAGCAGAAAGATGAAAGTGTTCCTCATTTCAGGAAATGCTCTTCTACGTCGTCTGGTGCGTATTGGAGTACTGGATGAAGGCAAGATGAAGCTTGATTACGTGTTGGGTCTTCGCCAGGAAGATTTCTTAGAGCGTCGTCTTCAAACTCAGGTGTTCAAGCTTGGGCTTGCCAAGAGTATTCACCATGCTCGTGTGTTGATCCGCCAAAGGCACATCCGGTTAGTTAAGGGTTAAAAATGAACCCAGAAAGTTTTGATTTTTTGATGAAAGGGTTTTTGTTGCAGACTTTCTTTGGATTGAGTAGTAAATGATTTTATATTTTAAATGAAATTTATAATTTATTGTTTATTAGTACCTTTTTAATGAGTTGTTGAAACCTTTTATACTTAGATAAATCTCCAAAATCTACGTGGAGGTGGTTGTGTGTTTTGAATCAGTTAGGTCACTTGGGCGATTGCCCTACACCTAACAAGCTCAGTTTTCCTGTGAGCCAATTGGGCAAATGCCTTATGTTCACACCCATGGATCAGTGTTTGGACCATTTAAGTACATGTGAGCCAATTAGGCATATGCCTTATGCTCACACTAGGTTGTGCCAGGGGAACAAGGCCTACATTTACAGAAGGTCTTGAAATTAAGGTGAGGTAATTAGTTTGGAGGAAATGTTCTCACTCTTGAGGTTATGCACCTCTTTTTCAATGCTGAGTAAGGCACTTTCCTTTCACTCGGTTAGAAAACTTTCATTTTAAAGGTGAAATTGGTGATTGCATATCCATGAGAAAATGAACTTTTGTTGGATATTTCTAATTGTTTACAATTAGAATGATAACTTACATGCTCTCTCTCTTTGTTGCTTTTAGTGTTAGAAAACAGGTTGTGAACATCCCATCCTTTGTGGTCCGTTTGGATTCCCAGAAACACATCGACTTCTCCCTGAAGTCCCCATATGGTGGTGGCCGTGCAGGTCTGTATGAATACACCTCCATAGTCTGAACAAGTCTTACATAACTAAACATGTATTCCAGAAAGTGAAAGTTTTTCGAAAGTTGGTCTTTTTTAAAAGCAATTTTTTTTCCTTAGCAAGTTGATTTTGAAGTGATTTGTTTTACATTGCTCCAGGTCGTGTGAAGAGGAAGAATATGAAGAAGGGTGGAGGTGGTGGTGGTGATGATGAAGACGAGGATTAAGCTTCAAAAAAGACTCCCATCACATTATCATCATATTGTGCCACGAGTTGCAGAAGAAAGACTGTCTGAATTTTGTGATGTGGATCATATTGCATTGAAGAATAAATTTGTAGAATCGGAATTTATGGTTTTCATGTGTGAATTTGTATAAATGCATGGGAAACTTGTGTTGGAGTTCAGTGTTCTGCAATTTTCTGTTTAAAAAACGGCCTCCAGCTGCTTCACCATTTACTCTTGAATCTTCACTTCTTAAATAGGTAATAAACTTTGACAGGAGAGCAAGAAAGGCATACTGAACTACAGAGATGAAATGATTCCGATTACATCCAAGATTGTCCTTGCAAATCAATTCAAAACATAAGAAAAACAATGTAAATATTTTAACTTTAATTGACACCTTGCAATGGTGCACTTCGAAAACCGATTCTCTTATTAAACGGGTCTGTTTTACCATATTTCACATAAAACTGCTTGATTATATCATTCTAAAGATGAATAGGTCTCTGACCAGAAGCTTGATAAAACGAGTTGATGAGAAAGCATAAGTCCTATTTGTGGTTAATATGCTTCTATTTTTCATTGATTTTATTGGATTAGGCCAAACAAATGTGTAGATTACTGGCCATTAGGCAAGCACTAAATTATTATTTCCCAGCTTCTCTGCAATGATATAACCTCTAATCATGAAAGTGTGCCTCAAACAGAAATAAAAGTCATAAAGGACACATTGGACAAATACATACAGCATGTGGCATGAATGCAAATTTGAAATAATAATCGTTTAAAAATAAGTAACACTGCACAAGCAAGCAGATTCTTAAGAATAAAGAGATGTTGTTTTTACCCTGTGAACAAGAAGATGGTTCAATTGACTTGTTTCAGGCATTTTGCCCAGATTGACAATAACATGATTTATGAATGCAGTTTGTTAAAGTGAGCTTAGCAACTGTCTACTGTTTGAGAGCAACCAACTCCATTGTATTATTTCTGCTGTCTTAGAATTCGGAATTTCCATATATGAATGGGTTTGAGAGTTGTCTACGATTTGCTTGTTACCATCTCGGCAGAGTTCAATTTTAACCAGGTTTCCATTTTAGAATTAATACGCTGAAGTTGGCTGACTGTTTCCAGGTCCTTTGTTTTTTCGATGAGTAAGGCTGGTACATTGGCCTCCACTTGATAATCCTTGAAAGAAATATGACAATTCTAGAGTGCATCATCATTTCATGAAAAAAAAAAGGGGGAGCTCTTTACATTTCAGTATAAAAAACCTGCAGCTGAGGAAGTTTTATGATAAACTGTCACTTACTTCAATACCCAAACTACTTAATAAGCATCACTGGTTTAAGACTTCAAATGAAAAAAATACCTCTTCTTCTGCCTGAGCAGGGTTCGTGTCCCTGTACTTTTGTTGCAGTTCTTGCAGGTCAGTTAAAAAACTACTAACTTCTTTAGCAGCCTGTAATTTTTTCCTCTCTTCTTCATGTTCCCATTTCAAGGCAGACAATTCTGACCTTGACCTAAAACAGTGGACTGTCATTTGAACTTTTTGAGCATTACAAATAGGCTAACTGAAATTTTAACCTACAGCATTTACTTTTAAGAAACCTTATCATAGTCAAGTTTATGTTTAACATTACTTTCTAAATCTTAGTGCATTGACAACATTCCATTCCATATATATTTTAAAAGAAAACCTTTGATGAAATTTGCAAAATAATACTTACACAGATTGATCTTTCTGATAGCGCAGTATCTCCATCCTGTGTTTTCTTATACCAGATGTGCTCTACAAAGAATTTTTTTTAATATTTAAAATGACTCTGTAAAAAAATAAATAGACAAAGACCACAAAAACACCAAAAGGCAATCAATTTTTATTTAAAATCTTGTCTATCTTTAGTGAAAATTGATCCATACATTTTCCTATTAAAGACAGAAATCTAACTCCATACCTTTAATTGGGCAGATTTTAGACTTCTTACTTCAAGAGCAAGGTCAATCTGAAATAAAAACAATTAAGTCAAATATAAAAAAATATTTATAAAAATATAATTTGAGTTTTTTAAGCCACATTCCAAATGACAAAACCTGTGATGTATTGTAGGTCAGTGTTTCAACAGTGAGCCTACAAGCTGTTATTTGGATGGCTTGTTAAAATCTAAGTTAACACTTTTTTCTTCATTGCAAAAGGTGGGGGGGTCATCTTTTGATGCTTCTGGCTCTGCACTGTAACTGCCCCCACCCCAACCACCATTACCACACATTTAGGACAGCATATTTCAAAATCCTAGCAAAACCCCTGATAGTGATTAAAATTAACCCAATTCACTGCTCTGTGAAGGTACTTACTGTGTCAAACACAACTTCTCTTAAATCAAACACAAACTGACTGATTCCTCTTCTAACAGCTTTTGTTGTTGCATTATCTCTGAAGCAAAATCATTCACATTTTTTTCATATAAATCAATGTATGCATGTTTAACAACATAACAATATTGGGAAAAATCAAATCATGAAAGATAATTTGGATTAAATCCCAATAATGTATCAAAAATAAGAAGGCAGTAATCAAAAGTCTCCATTTGCTTATCTATTATAAAAACGATAATAAAAACCTCCAAACCTAACAAGTGCAGCAATGTCTTCAATTGCTTCCAGGGCCACATCCAGATCAGTGGCATCAGAAATATTTCTCTTTCTACCTCCACTCCACAAACGAACAGATTTTGCTGAAAAAAAAAATCAATGAAAACCGCTAACATAAACTTTCAGCAAACCACTAATAATAAAAGGTAACAATGGTATAAAACCATTTCTATTGTTTTGGGTGTAAATCACAGGGCTGTGGTTATGGGATGTTTTGGACAAATTGACTTTTGGTCAGAAAAGGTACACTTATTACCCTGTGTCAAAATTTAGGTTTTATGCCATATCTCAAGAGGTACAGAGGTACACACATGTTAAGGTTCACTTTTTCAAGAAAAATAAAAAAAGACCCTCCCCCTTTCTTGAGATTGCTTTCTTCAGGCCTAAATCACACTTTTAGCACTGCTTTTGATCATACTGATTCTTTCATAACAGAACTGCCAAAATATGTGTTTGCCAGTTTTGGATAAAATTTATTATACCCCGATTTGTTTCCTCTAACGACTGTGTAGTCCGTTTTTTTGGTTTTTGCACAGGTTGTTTTTCTGGAACCCTTGGTGTCCTGGCATCCATCACTGCTGTTCCATCTAGAATGCTTAGATCCTTAAGAAAAATAAGTATTACATCATTCCTTTTTCATTAAAAACCCTTCACTTTCATTCTTTGGAATAAGTTTAACTATGTACAAGATAAAGTTTAATATGGTTTCATTTCCTCAATAAAAAACGTCAAATACTGAAATATGTAAACTCTCTGAAAGGATTCTGGATTCCTTTACACCCATGACAAATACAGACAGCATTTGGCATCTTTATTGCATTTTTCAAAAACTTCATTCTGTCAGTTATAATGACAAATGTCATAATATTAATAGATGTATTCTTGATTATACATATTATTTTATAACAGCATTAACATAATTTACTAAGTCAAATCTCACCATGCTTCTATTCAAAGGAGTTTGAATTCTCTCAGTTTGTGTTCTTCCTCCTTTAAAACTCATGGGTGTGCTTACAATGCTTGGGGGACGCCTGGGAGTGTATCTGATTCTTGGACCCGATCTTTCTGCTGTTGAGGAAGAAGTGGTTTCATTTCCTACAGATTTTGGCAATGTACTGTTTTTATCCTTGGTACTCCTTTGATAAACTGGCCCAGAGTTGGAACCTGTAGTACTTGAGCTGTGCTTTGGGGTGACAGTTTTAGCAAACGAAGTGTGCAAAGATGTATGCTTTTGATGTGTTGGACCCGATTCCAAACCCGACATCATTTGTTCATTGTCAGGATCAGCTCTCGCTCTGAAACTATTAATGAAAGATTGGGGTCTCCCTTATTGCAACATATTATTTTTTTAATCTATATTCAAATGTATCAAAATCAAATCTCATTCCATGCCAGTTTTATAATAATAATAATAATTATTATTATTATTTATAGTCTAAAATCCATATAAAATGTTCAGTAGACTTTACATGGGTAAAATGAACAGAATAAGATGAATAAAGTCAGTAAATAAATAGTCAGTTAAAGATATTAAGATATTAAAATGTATATGTGATATTATAAATTTCCCAATTATTTTCAAACTTAAAACAAGGATTTTAAACCTTATAATTGCAAGTCTGTCATATTAAAACACTGATTTTCATTAAAAGATTGGGACTTTTAAAGAGCTTATCACATCAAGAAGAGCCCAGGTCTAGCAAGGCCGAGACCTAAATATGGCGGACCTACATGAAAGGAAGACAGTATAATCCTTTAATGGTCTCTCAGTGACATTCCTTGCTAGACCTCGGGTCTTCTCGATGTGAATGCTCTCTTACCTAGATTTCCTAGAGACTATGTTATCTGACCCTTGTTCAATATACTCCTCAGTGCTTTCTTCTCCAGATGTTGGCCTTCCATCCTCTGAGTAATGCCCTTGTTCTGCATCAGAACCACTTTCATCTTGGTCATATATTTTTTGCTGTGTGCCTTGTTCATTTAATTCTTCTTCAGAAAGATATTCTTCTTCTGATAAATGTCTATATTCTAAGTAAAATCAGAAAAAATGTTATATACAAACAGGAGAAACTGTTCATTTTGGTCAAAAAAATTAATTTTCCTGGGGTAAATGGCAATTTTCCCATACTAACCAATGGTTAATAAATCTATTTCTACATTCAAAGTTAGTCCCTGGTTTTTTTCTAAAGAGTTTGTTTTTTGTAATAATCTCTTGAGAGATTATTATAGAGTATAGCCATCTATGGAGGTCACGTGGTCCGATGACAAGCACAGATTGCAGATTCATTGCTATAACAGCTGTTTTTGTGGTAAAATAGAATAATTATATTGATAAAATAATTGATAAAAAGAAAAACAATAATTTGAAAAGAATAATTATACTTATATGAGTTGTTTACAATGTATTTACTGTGAAATAAAGAAATCATATGAAGAGTTGTTATCCCTTTAAATACTTTATGCACATATAAAAGTAATGGATCAGCTGACTTTACAAGTCATTTTATGTGGTTTTAAGGTTCATTGACCTGTGAAAGTGACAGCCAAGCATTTCAACCCAAACAGCAGCATGTGGCACTATTCACAATTACCAGCACTACCAGTGTCATGACCAAGTCTTTACAGTGCAAAGGAAAAAAATAAAAATTGAGGAAAAATATAAAAATGTAGGGTGCTCTAAACAAAAGTTCAACTTTACACCTGTCGACTTAAAAATGGATTATAGAATAAAGACAAGTACTAACCTTGTTGCTGTGGTATAGCAACTGGAATATTGGACTGTAGGGCAACAGGTTCTGGTGAGGTATACACCTCAGAAAGTTCCTGATAAGAGCAAAAAGGGTGCCATGGACATGACATTTTAATTTTATGGAAATCATATTCTCAGTCTATTATCATGTAACACAGTGTGGCTTCTTTAATTCCTACAACAATTACATGTACCACTCACAATTTGATAAAATTTCACATTTTGAATCACACATTTATTTTAACACCATCTTCCTTCAGAAGGGAAATTACATACAACCAAGTCAAACTTACTTCTTGTGACTGTAACACAGCTGCAACTGGAGAAATATTGTTCTCCCAGTTTCTGACGAAAGTGAAAGGACGAACAGTGGTCGTGCGATTGTTCCTAAAAGTAAAGTGGAAGACGTAGGCCATCACATTATCAGTAATTTATCAATGTGGTTCATTAGTAAGCTCTTCTGAAATAAGTACATATTTTCAGTTGTTTAAGAGAGTACAACGCTATTTATAACATTGTCCGACTGGATATATCTTATGACTGTTTTAGTGTGTATGAAGCGGTGACTGTAATGACTAACGAGTCTTTACGTTTATCAAATACCGTCCGATTTGCAACTGACGTTTTAACGGACTATCACTAATTTTTGTAATTAAAAAAAACAGATGGTTAAAAATACACAGGAATAACAATACTTACAAAAATCTCCGATTAAGAATTGGACGAGTTCTTGAAGGTAAAAAGATACTTTGAGAATTCTGAGAACTTTGAGATTGTGACTCTCCCTCCATTTCTGACGCTTTCTGTGCTTCTATTCAAAAGAATCATTATCCAAGACGAGCTGGTTTCTGTACCGCAAATAGAAACGACATCAAGTACATTTTAGTGTTCTGCGTTTAAGACACAACTGTTCAACCCCCAAAAGGTTTTGCTCTTTTCATTTTTATGTATTCTTCATTGGAAATTCTAGAAAGCAAATGGAACAAACTTTTAAACACTCAAAGAGCACTGATACATCTACCACATTTTGCAGGGCATTGGGACATATAAACTTTCCTTCTTTAGTCCATACATGGACAACTCAAAGTCGGCATAAACATTAAGTCAGTCTTCATTGACATTTTTCACTGGTCATGAATAACCTCTCCTTTGAGTTGATTACACCAAACCAGATAGGTGCAATACCAGAAATAAGACTAAAAGGACCCCCCCCCCCCCCCCGAATTCAACAGGAAAAAATATTCGAGCCAGAGGGTCTATTTAGTAATTTTTTCCCCACCAATTAGATGTGCACAGATGGAAATGTCACACTTCTTTGTCATATAAAATAACTCTGTAATAAATGGTAAAACAAACCAATTTACTTTAATACAAAGTACAACTATGTGAAGAAATCCAGCTCCAAACAGTTGAATAATGGACATTTGAATGATACAAACATTTAAAAGTTAGCACATTACCTTTCCACCAACAAATTGTATAATTACAATATTCTTAATAAACAATTTTAAAAACATTTTTATCAAGATATAAAGGTAAATGCCATGCTACAGATGAACAACCAAAAACTTAACTACGTGACATTTTAGTACATAAACACAAACCAATTATGCTGGACACAGCATGCCACTTTTTCTTAAACTGTAAGTAAAAAGGGCACATTTCAAAATAACTGAACTACCATAGCCAGCATAATGAAGATTTGGAAATCTCTCTTAACATTATGCCAAATCTAATACAAAATGTAGAAAAATAACAGTATATGTGAATTACAAACATACTTCATTGAACTATACTGCATTTATATACAAAAACTATTAAAAAGTATTGCATAAGTGTACACTATGTACATATGGAAATTACATTATGTACAAACTACTTTCCACTCATCTTAGAAATACCCATTCCAGTCAACAGTTACTTTTTCCCTCAATCTCTCTTTTACATTCATTAGGGAGGAAAGTTCGTACAATTTATGGGGGAGGAAGTGGTGTCAGTTTCTTCAATAAAATAACTGGATGAGCTTCAAAATAAAATAAATAAATAAATAAATACAATTCTTAACCTTATTCCCTTCAGTTTGCCCTTATTCAAATCATAGATATATTTGGTTTTATATTCAATTTAAACCAATTTAATGATATATTGTGGGCAACAACAGTCCAAGACATGAACAAATATGNCAATTTTCCCATACTAACCAATGGTTAATAAATCTATTTCTACATTCAAAGTTAGTCCCTGGTTTTTTTCTAAAGAGTTTGTTTTTTGTAATAATCTCTTGAGAGATTATTATAGAGTATAGCCATCTATGGAGGTCACGTGGTCCGATGACAAGCACAGATTGCAGATTCATTGCTATAACAGCTGTTTTTGTGGTAAAATAGAATAATTATATTGATAAAATAATTGATAAAAAGAAAAACAATAATTTGAAAAGAATAATTATACTTATATGAGTTGTTTACAATGTATTTACTGTGAAATAAAGAAATCATATGAAGAGTTGTTATCCCTTTAAATACTTTATGCACATATAAAAGTAATGGATCAGCTGACTTTACAAGTCATTTTATGTGGTTTTAAGGTTCATTGACCTGTCAAAGTGACAGCCAAGCATTTCAACCCAAACAGCAGCATGTGGCACTATTCACAATTACCAGCACTACCAGTGCCATGACCAAGTCTTTACAGTGCAAAGGAAAAAAATAAAAATTGAGGAAAAATATAAAAATGTAAGGGTGCTCTAAACAAAAGTTCAACTTTACACCTGTCGACTTAAAAATGGATTATAGAATAAAGACAAGCACTAACCTTGTTGCTGTGGTATAGCAACTGGAATATTGGACTGTAGGGCAACAGGTTCTGGTGAGGTATACACCTCAGAAAGTTCCTGATAAGAGCAAAAAGGGTGCCATGGACATGACATTTTAATTTTATGGAAATCATATTCTCAGTCTATTATCATGTAACACAGTGTGGCTTCTTTAATTCCTACAACAATTACATGTACCACTCACAATTTGATAAAATTTCATATTTTGAATCACACTTTTATTTTAACACCATCTTCCTTCAGAAGGGAAATTACATACAACCAAGTCAAACTTACTTCTTGTGACTGTAACACAGCTGCAACTGGAGAAATATTGTTCTCCCAGTTTCTGACGAAAGTGAAAGGACGAACAGTGGTCGTGCGATTGTTCCTAAAAGTAAAGTGGAAGACGTAGGCCATCACATTATCAGTAATTTATCAATGTGGTTCATTAGTAAGCTCTTCTGAAATAAGTACATATTTTCAGTTGTTTAAGAGAGTACAACGCTATTTATAACATTGTCCGACTGGATATATCTTATGACTGTTTTAGTGTGTATGAAGCGGTGACTGTAATGACTAACGAGTCTTTACTAACGTTTATCAAATACCGTCCGATTTGCAACTGACGTTTTAACGGACTATCACATATGCTAGTTTTTAATTAAAAAAAAACAGATGGTTAAAAATACACAGGAATAACAATACTTACAAAAATCTCCGATTAAGAATTGGACGAGTTCTTGAAGGTAAAAAGATACTTTGAGAATTCTGAGAACTTTGAGATTGTGAATCTCCCTCCATTTCTGTCGCTTTCTGTGCTTCTATTCAAAAGAATCATTATCCAAGACGAGCTGGTTTCTGTACCACAAATAGAAACGACATCGAGTACATTTTAGTGTTCTGCGTTTAAGACACAACTGTTCAACCCCCAAAAGGTTTTGCTCTTTTCATTTTTATGTATTCTTCATTGGAAATTCTAGAAAGCAAATGGAACAAACTTTTAAACACTCAAAGAGCACTGATACATCTACCACATTTTGCAGGGCACTGGGACATATAAACTTTCCTTCTTTAGTCCATATATGGACAACTCAAAGTTGGCATAAACATTAAGTCAGTCTTCATTGACATTTTTCACTGGTCATGAATAACCTCTCCTTTGAGTTGATTACACCAAACCAGATAGGTGCAATACCAGAAATAAGACTAAAAGGACCCCCCCCCCCCCCCCTGAATTCAACAGGAAAAAATATTCGAGCCAGAGGGTCTATTTAGTAATTTTTTCCCCACCAATTAGATGTGCACAGATGGAAATGTCACACTTCTTCGTCATATAAAATAACTCTGTAATAAATGGTAAAACAAACCAATTTACTTTAATACAAAGTACAACTATGTGAAGAAATCCAGCTCCAAACAGTTGAATAATGGACATTTGAATGATACAAACATTTAAAAGTTAGCACATTACCTTTCCACCAACAAATTGTATAATTACAATATTCTTAATAAACAATTTTAAAAACATTTTTATCAAGTTATAAAGGTAAATGCCATGCTACAGATGAACAACCAAAAACTAAACTACGTGACATTTTAGTACATAAACACAAACCAATTATGCTGGACACAGCATGCCACTTTTTCTTAAACTGTAAGTAAAAAGGGCACATTTCAAAATAACTGAACTACCATAGCCAGCATAATGAAGATTTGGAAATCTCTCTTAACATTATGCCAAATCTAATACAAAATGTAGAAAAATAACAGTATATGTGAATTACAAACATACTTCATTGAACTATACTGCATTTATATACAAAAACTATTAAAAAGTATTGCATAAGTGTACACTATGTACATATGGAAATTACATTATGTACAAACTACTTTCCACTCATCTTAGAAATACCCATTCCAGTCAACAGTTACTTTTTCCCTCAATCTCTTTTACATTCATTAGGGAGGAAAGTTCGTACAATTTATGGGGGAGGAAGTGGTGTCAGTTTCTTCAATAAAATAACTGGATGAGTTTCAAAATAAAATAAATAAATAAATAAATAAATAAATAAATAAATAAATACAATTCTTAACCTTATTCCCTTCAGTTTGCCCTTATTCAAATCATAGATATATTTGGTTTTATATTCAATTTAAACCAATTTAATGATATATTGTGGGCAACAACAGTCCAAGACATGAACAAATACGAATTCCAACAAGACAGATCAATATTTAGAACAGCAGCTTTGGAGTAAACTGGATTGTAGCATTTTAACTCCATTTATGTATTTGCACTTCCCCTCCATCCAGCTCCAGATTTGGTCTCCATTAAGTTATAAGGACATTTAAAGAGTTACTGCCCTCATTATCAATTTGATCAGTTAACGTCTCTCCTAAATATGCAGGTGCCACATCTTGATCAGGTTTAGGTCTGGACATGTTAATGTCAGAGAGATTTTGAACACTGCTGTTGTTGTCAGATATTTCATTTTCAGGCTTATCATGAATGTGATGATTGGCCTTTTCTTCATTAATGTCGTCAAGATCTGGCTCACCATCGCTGCTCTCTGCTCCACTGTCATCCTCTGAGAACACCTCTGCACCAGGAAACACATACCTATTTGGAGGAACATGAAGGTAACTGTGCTCTGTAAAAAAAAAAGAAAACATTTCATACATGCACCGTGCACATAATTTCACATATTCATAATCATTCTCCATGCTGTATGAACTAAGTGTATGGATATATGAAGTGTATGAGTACCTTTTTGGGATGTCAAACTTTTAATCAATACAAAGAACAAAAAGTCAAAAATGTGCAATAATGACATGCCTATCCACACATTAGTACAAAATTAATAAAATATTAAAAAATCAACATAATTTTCCCTTTTAATGATATCATTTACCTGGTAGTCTTAATGCAATACTTTGTTTCTTTTTGGGTATCCAACATTCCCTTAATGCTGCCAAGTCTGTGGTTGAAGCCAATTTGCTGTCTCCATCATCAGTTGGTATGGATGACACTTCAGTTATGCTTGATACTTCCTCATCAACACTATATTGTTGCTTATTACTACTCATATTGCTGTCACTATTTTCTGAAAATTGTCTGTCAACTTCTGATATTGGTGTTTGATCGCTTTCCTTTTCTACATTTGCTTGTTCTGCCTGGCTCTCGTCCTTCAACTCAATGGCAATTTGTTCAGAAGTTTCAACACAAGCATTTTGTGCAGATTGTTTGGAAGGCACTGATGCACAAGGGACCTCATCCTGTGCTGGCAAGGTAGGCTCTGGAACTCTTTCATCAGAACCTATATGTCCAGCAAAATGAGGACTTGATCTACTGATTAAACATGGAGATTCAGGAGGTGTTGGCAGGCAGTCCTTGGATATCTCTGTTAGTTTTTCACCATCTTTAGAACACAGGGATCCCCAACCCTCTCCCAGTCTCCTGCATAGTTCTTGGACTATCCCGTCACAGTCCCCAAGAAGCTCCACGTCAAAATTGAGGTGTTTCAGTGGCTCTCTGTTGATAAGTATTTGTGGCACATGAGGTGATACAGAGTCTGAAAGAAAAAAGAATTAGAGTATTATGCTATTCCATGGTAAGGAATGAGATTGAAAGTTTCATTTTCAACGTAATTGTACAAACAATCCATGAAATGAAGTATAAACATCAACACAAATGACAGACAAACAACTGACTGAAAAAACGATGAAAAATATAACTATTTTGAAGTGCGCAATACCTTTACCCACAGCTATGTCCAAAATGGACAGAATTTGAATGATGTACCCACACCCCAAAACACAATCCGCATACAAACAGCCTAGAGACAATGACTGACCTCTGTAAATACTCAGAGAGTGATATCAGGATATGTTAGAGATTTCACTTTCAGTATCACTTACTGGGTATAAGAGCTACTGGTCTGACTTTGAGAGAAGATCCTATGACAATGAGCAGATCACAGTTATCTTTGTCATGAGACATGCTTTTGTGGAACTCCTCTGGCAAGCTTTCTCCAAAAAACACTATGTCTGGCTTCATAATAGGCATTTCAGCTTCTGGAGGGCAGTTAGGGCATCTTGGAATAACCTGTCAGTTTTATACAAACATGTCAGAATTGATGCAGAACTTTTATTTAAATAATGGATTGTTAAGCAATTCCCTTTTAACCATGCTCTTTAAAAATTTTTTTTCCCAAAAATGGAGCTTAAAAAAACAATCTCTGCATTAAATGCGGAGTTTCATATTTCATGATAACATAACATGTGCTTAACCAATAGGATCACATACTCAGGAAAAAATCAGTCAAATAATTGCAAGTTAACCATTTTCCATAATAACTTTATCAGTTAAAATAATCATTTATTATAAGAAGTTAACTGTGGTAAACTGTTTCCACAAAAGTGAAAACCTAACATTTTGCATTTGTTTTCACAAACCTGTTTCATGATGTCTTCTTTTACAGCATTGGCATCCACTTTGTACTTGCAGGTCATACATGTGGCTGTTGCAAATGACCCTGCAAATGATGCATAAAGCCAATAATGTACTGTTTTTGTCTTTTGTATAAAATGTGTTTTTAATCTTTTAAAACCATCAAAATAGATTGCTTTCCTTTTTTTCAAATTTCTATTTATGATACAAAATTTTTCTTACCATGGCACTGAATAACATTTTGAATGCCTGCTACTTGTTCCAATGTGTCTATATTTTGTGCATAGTTCCTTAATAGTTTTTCATGATCTTCAAGAAGTTTTATAAACCTATGACATGGTGAAGGTTGGAACTGGCCTGGATAGATTTCCTATTGAAAATACAGGACACTGGTAATGTTTCAAAAATACTAAAAAGCAATTTCAGTTTACAATTATGCCAATATATCCAATCACTGTTAAGATAACTTCTAAAGAAGTAAAACGCAGATTAAAATTTCATTATCACACTTGAATATGACATATTCAATATACCAAGCATCATTTTAACCATTAACTTTACATCTTGATATTCTTAACCATACTGACCTTAGCAAACTTGAAGAATGGTTTAGGGTTGTTTCTGAAGTATCTTATATCAAACATAGCTTGAGGATCTGGAAGGTCTGGGTAGTCGACAGATAAACGGGCATAGATACCATTGCGCGAGCGAAAATCTGGAATTCCACAGGATACTGAAACCTGAAACAAAGAAGTATAAGGTCTCTGCATTCCATATTCAAGATTGTATACAGTTTTATGTAGTTCTATAAACTGAAAAGGCAATTTTAAAGTATTACACTTTTGATGAATTATAATAAATAAGGATATCCCCCATTCTTCTAAAAACATTCATACTTGAATTATGAAGAAATGCTCCCAACTTCATACAGTTTAAGCAGAGGCCACATAAGGGTCACTTACCCCTGCACCTGTCAATACAATTATATTTCTTGCTCTTTTTATCAGTTCTACTACATCATCCATGGTGTTCACATGGCTAAGTTTCTTTCTCTTAGGAGGCTCTGAGAGGATCTCCACCACAATCTTCCACAGAGTCAAATCATCCACCTCATCTGGTATAAAAGTACTGTGTGGTAACAGGTGGTGAAGTATTTCCCTTGGTTCCCTTCCACCAGCCATTTGTCTATGAACCCATGAGATGGGACCTAAATAGAAGAAGTTGATATTTTATTTAAAAAAACAACAACAACAACCAGGCTTCATAGCTACATATTCACATCATGATAACTTATTCAGCAGCTCTCACAAACAAAAACAAACATATAATCTGCTCTCTTTAAAATACTTAAATACCATTTCCAATATTCTTATATGAGAATGTACGTCATTGTGTATATGTACTAACACTTACCTGCCATCGATCTCCATTCTTCTTCAGCACTCATTCCTGATAAATCACTCATTTCGCTTATGTTGTCCTCTTCCTGCTATCCATCAAATGAAAGACATTAAAATAATTTCTTGAGAGTTAATTTTAACTTGAAATAAACTGATATAGAGAAACACTTGTAAAGTTCTGTTTCACCATTATGATTTTACATTCTGATTTCATGATGAAAATTTTGACCTACCTGACTTCCAGTATTATCACTGCCATCTCCCGACCCTCCACTGAGGTAGTACTCTAACTCATCCTCTCCTGCAAGCAAGAATTACTCAACACTGCTTAAAAAACATCAAATGTGTGTGTGTGCATGCGTTTGTGCATAAATCTGCAATATATAGATGTAATCATTAAGCATCCCAAGAATGTTTCAGAAAATTGTGAGCAAAACATCACGTATATGATACATGTTTCTTCAGATCAACTTTGATATCAATTGCTTCTGGATAAAGATTCAACAAATTTCCACAGAGCATAAGTTATCTATCTTTGAAGCACATGCACTTACCTTCGGCATGCACATAAACTTCTGGGGGATGTTCATTCATTCCTGGGAATTCTGATGGAATAATATCCTCTATGGGCACATTGCTTACAAGATTGTCCTTGTCGTTTTCAACTGCAAACAAGGCAGCAAAGCTGTCAAATGTACAGACAAAAAACAGGAAATAACTATGCACAAAATAGGCTACTGTCAATTCTGATGCAAAAGTACATTCCTTAAAATGTGTTTACAGTGTTGCATATATGCTGAAAAGTGAAAAAACAGCATAACTTCTACAATAATGGCCCGATCATGCTGATTTTCGAACTTGACCTGCGTTTTATGAATATTCATCAGCTCTGTAAATATTAAGCCAAAAAGTAAAACTGCCCTCCACTTATCGTGTTTACAATGAAAGTGCACGGCGTCGGCGACAGCGACAGTGACGGCGACGACAGACACAGGTGATGGCAATATGTACCGACANAAAATTGATTGAATCAATTGAAAATTCAAATAACAATTGGTTTGACATTGAGTAAAATCCCATTCCAATGTGCGTGTTATGTCAAAATAATCCACGTGGTGATTGACCTAAATTACGTTAAAAAGTAGGTCACAACTGTTTTGCTTGGTCAGTATATCTTCATAATTTTTGTTCCTTGGGTTCGAAAGAGACAAAAATAGCTATATATTTCAATAAAGGAGAACTTATGCTATAACCTGATGCTGACAAAATAACCGCTTATAGACGCTGTTTTTTTATTTTAATTTGGGCTCCTCTTGCATGACCTAGGCGAACTTTTTTGTAGGAAATGACACACCTTTCAAGTGTTCTTCTTGTAGACCTTCTTTCAATCTCTTTTGTAGGCAGATAGAATCCCCAGCCTCTAATCCTTCTCCCGGCCCCCTAACGAAGTCTTCAAATGAATCTGTATCCGACCTAGGACGTTTTAATTGTGATGAGAATTCGCTTCCTTGTGCCGCCATATTGGATTTGGACGCGGTATACAATTGCGCATGCTCTGTGGAAGTGTGAACGTCACAGGGAGCAATAATTTTTTAATATTTTCTTTATTTACTATACACATTAGTGTGTACTTGACAGTGACTTTATGAAATGTTCCCAATGGTCAATTTTACAAATATACTTATGTTAAAAATAAGAAGAGAGTAGCCTTTATAACTAAGAATTATTGCTCTTTTGGAATATTAGAAAACACTAACAAATATACACTCCCATCATATATAAACACTTCCGGCAACAAGCTTGAAGTTGTGCAGGCGGTGCAAATGTCCTTCTGTTGTGACCCACAATGGTTGACGCCGCACTTAACAGCGAGATTAATTCTGAAGATGATTACTATCACATCTTGGGATGTGACGAACTCTCAACAGTAAGTTTTAGCAGCAATCGTATAGTTCGATTCCCCACTCAGTATAGTCATTTCCCTGACACAGACACAGTTACAGTGACTTAATTAATCTAAAAAGTACATAAATCGACTTTTAAATACCACACTAGTCAATTGGAGTGTGAAAAATGGGTTGAGTATTATAAATTTGTTAACAGTAAGTCAATTTTAAGTTTCCGGGTTTAGTATATTTTTATGATATTTTGAGTCAAAATTTTTTAATGTTAGTTAAAGTCTAAATAGCTATATTGTAGTGGATTCAATTAAATCTAATGTTATTTGTTTGATGCCTTGATTTTTCATGTAAGTGGTAAGTGTGGATTCTTAAGTTTGAAATATAATGCAGTATATTTATTCTAATACAAACCATGTATTTAGGTTTCAGTTCAGACAAATGCAATTATTTTCATTTATTAATTTTAGATGGAGCAAATATATGCAGAATATAAGGCGAGAGTAATGGAAAATCATCCTGACAAATGTCAAGATGACCCAAAAGCAAGTATGATTGTCTTTTGTTGATTTTGAATTACAATACTAGTATAAGGTAGATTGTGAAAGGTAATTTAAGTTGAACTAGTTCACATTTTAAACAGAATTTCTTTTAATTTTGTAATCTGTATAGAATTTACCAAATCAATGTTTTGCAAAAAAATATTGATAAATACCTTAACATCATTTCCATTTAAAGAATGTCTTTGTTACAGTTAGCTCAATGGAAGTATTGACATTTATCTTGCTAGTCTTAATTTACCATTGTTACATCTTCATGGTGGTAGACACCCTGATTGTAAAAGCCAAGAATGTATTGATTTTTGTAGGATATTAGATTGAAGTGCTCTGCTGGTGTGCTGAGCATGGATTTTGAATCTCAATTCGAATACAGGATATTTTGTCTCTTTTAATCTGTGAATAAATGGAAATTCGACTTCACCACTTTAGAACTTGAAGAAGTTTTTGATGCTAGACTATATGATTTACAAAATAAAAAGTTGATGTAAAATCAAAGTCATTTTCCATGCTTATGAACTGTAGTTTATTGTTAATTACAACTGATACAATTGAATAATTCAGCTGGATAATTTCCACCAACACATTTGTACCTAAAAGAGCTAGACAGTCAATCAAGTCGAGTTGAAAAAAACAGTTGACAATACAAGGATAATATTTTTTATAATAGATAGTATCCTTAAGAGCTTAATCATATAATACAAATTGTTGGATAAGATGTTTCCTTTATATACATTAAGAATGTTACCTTAACTTTATTGTGCATTGTCACCGACAAGGAAAAAAAAGTGCCAAAAAAACTTGTTAATTACTATAAAGACAATAAATTGATAATTGAAGGTTTTGTGAAGAGCCTGCGTTTGAGGAGAAAACATAGATACTGACCACATTAATTTGCCACTTTTAGAAACAGGTTTATCTTTTGTTCCAATATTTGTTTTTTGATTCAGTATGCGAACATTGATAAATGATGGTCATTCATAAACTCTGTATAGTTCTTAGCATTAGTATTGATTTGACAGGGACTTTTACTTCATCTGAGCTAAATTTTGATGAAAGTAAATCAATACAACAACCGCCATTCTCTACGGAGTGACTGTGTTGACATATCTGAGTGTAAAGCAGATTCCATTCATTTCCTGCACACTGGGACAGAGATAATTTTACATTTCCATGCACATGTTATAATGTGAATTACATTTTGAGGATTATAAATTTATATTCATGGAGTTTAATTTGGAAGGAGTAAACCAATGTCTGCATTTATCCCATTTTTCTCCTTAAGCTGATGAAAATGAAATGAATATATTGAAATTCCATAAAACATGATTTTACAAGATCTTTTTAAGTCCTGCTTTTTCTTTTGTCAAGCGGAAAGATTTGCCAAATTACAGCGAGCAAAAGAGACCCTTACTAATGATGACACGAGGCAGAAGTATGACCTGTGGAGGAGAAGTGGACTTGCAATACCTTATGAACAGTGGGCCAGCCTTAGAGATACTGTGCATACAGTTAGTTGACTTAATTTGTTTTTCTCTGGAAAGAAGTTTGTAGATCTTCACACATCATTTACTGTGATGCATACAGATAAACAAGGTAGAATTCAATATTCACTTGTAGATTTTGTTTAAAGTAGATAATGTGTAGTAACTCATCCTGCACATCTCTAAATGAAACCAGAATGTACAATTAAAAGAAGCCAAGAAGTGAATTGTGTCAGCAGTGGTCTAGTACTGCTTTTATTTCAGAGTTGTAGACATTCATAAAGAGGAAATTTTTTGTTTTGCTTTCAGTCGATGCATTGGATGGATGCTAAAAAAGAAGCAATGTTACCACAGGCTTCTGATTTCTCAGATGATGTCAAAGGTTATGATGTGTCTTCCAATCAAAAACGAAATCCTGAGGGCAAGGTTCACATGACAGGTAAGATATTTCTATTAAAAAAACAATATCCTGGACCTGTAGAAAATGGCATTTTTCTCTGACCAATAAACCTTGATTTTCCTTTCCAGACACTTGCTCTGTTACAATCTGGGAAAATAGTTAAGTCCTAAAGTTTCTGTTTTTCAAAACATGCCACCACTTTGGTCACTTTGTCAAGATGGTTGACAGGTGGACAGGTTTGTCAGGAGATGATAAATTAGTCTAAGATAAATTTGGCCAAATTAATTCATTATAATGTATCACTTGTCATTAGATAAGTTCATCAAGAAGTGGTTTATGTACTTTTAAGTTAAGGTGTGTTTAAGGGTATATTGTTCATTAAATCAAAATTTTGGAGATAACTTTTACCCTAGAACATTTTATTTCCTTTCTATATTTTATAAAGAACTAGATTCGAGTATTTTCTCGTTGCCAAAACACATGTATTATCTAGTGTCACTAAAAAGCAATTAATTTTTCAAATTTTCAAAAGTTTCATAAATTTTTGATAAAAAGCAGTAAATGTGAAGCAAAAGATGCCTAGCCATTTGTAATTTGAAATTTCTTTGTAACATGCATTTTACAAACAAGCACTATATGTGTCTGTGTATTTTGATCACCATGTCTATCTGTGTCATCACCATCTGAAACATCGGTGTCAAATTTACTGAGTAGCTTAGAGTAAAACAAAAATATTTTTTTGTTTATTTATTTATTTAATTATTTATAAATGTTGTGTTGCAAATTTTCTTCTGTATATTTGTCAGTTTTTCTGTCTACTTGTTGTGCCAACTTTATTTTTATTTATTTAATCTTTTTTTTTTTTTTTTTCAGATATTTCTCATCTGAACTTTGGCGGTGTCCCTTGGGAAAGAGATCCACCAAGTGAAGCACTTCGGAAATTCAGAAATTATGAAATTTAAGCAATGATTCACTCATGTATGTCTATTGGGAAAATAGGGTTCACTTTGTTGCTAATGGTGCTATTCCAAACCAACTATGAATTCCACAAACCATCAAAAACTGATAAATCCCAGGGTTTTTAGTTTAATTGTGATAAATTCTTTAAGCACCCAATTCTTATTTATTTTCAGTCAGTTCTTGCAATTCTTGAGAAATCCTGAAATTGGCACAAAAGTTTCTAACCAGTCTTCTATTTATCATCAGTTTATGTTCTAGGACCAGTACAATAGCTGCTCTATGTTGAACATCTATTTTTGAAGTGAAGCCCAAGCTGGGAAAAGATTTCTACCAGAAATATGCAAAATTCCATAATTCCTCTTGATTTCTAAAATTTATTAATTCCTGGAATTCGTAGTCGGTATGGAATAGGAGCATTAACTGTTACAATTTTTTTTGTTCCTGACACTGTATCTCATCTATTGGCATAATAGATACAAATGCCATTTTTGAAAAAAGAGGTCCCCAGATGCTGCCATAAAGATGATGCTGGTTCCTTAAGGGCTTGTGTCAGCAGTGTGAGCAAACTGACCAAGTTGCATACTTCTCTTAAAATTGAAGTTATTGCTTATGACAGCTGTGCTATTTATATTTGGGTCTATTTACATCAGACCTTAAAATTTTAGATAGGAGATATTTAGAGTGTATCATTTACAGTTGTTTTATAGATTCAGTGGTATTTTATTTAGTTTTAGTCACCTTTGCTATAATGACATCTTTTTCATGTTGTTTTAACATGGCAAATAATATTCTCTATGAATACGCAAATTGGACAGATCATCAAATGAATGTAAAATATAATAAAATATTGGTATTAAATTTATGAAAGTAAACATTTAAATTGTGCCCCAAAAAATTTTACAACTGAATTCTGAAAAACAAAATCAGTCTTCATTTGCAACAATTTTTTTGCCAAAAATTATATTGGATAAGTATCACCAGATAGAATGGAGGCCCTATTGCACCTACAAGCCCATTCCTAGTTTAAGGTAGAAGTGATACCAGTTTCAAGTAACTTTTGTTATTCTATAACTTATCTTGGGGTTTGTATGTTATGCAATCTGCATTTAAAAGCTCCAGTTAACCAGTGACAAATTTGTGAGACAATACTGGTGTCCAACACAACATCAAAGCAAAATTTCTCAAATATTAATTTCTTTGTCAAAGATTACCAGTATTATAACCTGAAGGGCACAGTTTCAAGTTTCATTAAAAGTATTTTGAGCAATTGTACATATTTTTGGATACATGTACTTATGTGCAATGATAATATAGTTGTACTTTATGTTATTTTTATATTAAATATAGCAATATTTGTCTCTATATTATATTAAGTTTTTGGTCATTGACAGTATACATGTATGTTGAAGAAATAAAAATTTATTCAATGTTCCTCAATTTTATTTAAAACTTTAATTTAAATGCACTGAAATAATGTAGTTATGTACATTAAAAGCATTTATGAAAATTACACATCCATTTTCAGTAGAGGTGATCCTATTTCATTGGTTATAACCAAATCTGTGTGGGAACTATGCTGCATGCCAGTCAATGTTGCATCTTCAGAAGCATGGCTTGTTTTAATGATTAGAGCACAAGCTTCTATAGAGAAGAAGAAAAGCTGCTCTTCTGTAAGTGTCCTCATGATGTAAACCAATATCGAAAGTTCGCTGAAATGGGTCTTTCATTACCTCACAGGCCCGTAGCCAGCAAATTCAAAAGGGGAGTTCTTTTTCTGAAAAAGTGGATCTTTTACAATGAAACTTATGTGTATGTAGATAAATTTTTACCCAAAATGGACCTTTTCCTGACAAAAGGAGCGGTTCTTTCGAACCCCCAAACCCCCCCTGGCTACAGGCCTGCCTCATGTTTAGTCTCTATGTTATAATCAAAGTTTTCAATAACATTCAGTTCCTTCACTATTATCACCTTAAAATTTTCCACAAAGTTTGATACAAATGCACCTTGACATAAACCTCCCCTTTTCAATTATGTGGCCATTGCATTATCCATGCCGTCATATTTGGTTCAATGCACATAAATGCAAGAGGTCAACTTGTTGCTATTCTTTCATATGTCCTACGCTGTGCTACAGGAGCTAGATCCATGGGAGATTTTTCTGCCTGAAAAGTGGTAAATCTTGTATTAGTTGTTATTTATGAAATTGACTTACTTTCTAGCTTCCCATTTTGACTTATTTATCTTAAAACTGTAGTGTCTCACATTTGGGTAAATACTTATGCGCTGTATTAAAACTGAACTTGCAAGGAACAAGACCCTTCACAATATCACACAGACTGGTACATGTCCAAACATTTAGAAAAATTTTATTCTTTTTGCACAAATTGACATTTGATCTTGATATTCATTTTTTACCATACAAGCAGAGATGCCAATCTCTGGAAATCTGGAGATTCTAAAATTTTGCTCAGTGGGAGAGGGGGGAGGCAACCACTTTCTCAACCCCCCCCCCCCTCCCCAAAAAAAAAAAAACAATTACAAGACAATTATGAAGTTTTCCAACTCTTCTGAAATTGTTTTGATTTGGGTATTTAGCTGATAGTGATGCAAATTTTCAAAGTCACTTTTATCTAGATTTGGTTACCCATACAGTAGACCAAGGGATTCGTTGTTTCTGGGAAACTCGCAGATTATCCAGGAGAGTTGACATGCATGTACAAGCCTCCAAGTTAATCTAAGTGAAGTAGAAATACACTATGGTAACATAGTTACAAGGCAACATGATTCACTTCTAACAGTGATGATGAAGACATGGACAGACACAAGAAACGCCAGTTTTAGTCTGTGCATGAAAAGTGAAGCTACTCATACCAACCTTGATCTAAACAGCATTGGCTTCATACCTTATTTAGAATACTTGTGCTGCCACCATGTTCTATGAGAATCTTGGCCTCTTCTACCATCTCCTCTTCACAAGCCACATGGCTGAAATAGCAATCAACAGATATCATGAACAATGCTGTATCCAGAGAGCGCAGGGCACAACTGACATATGTCCATCCATTGGTTTCAGAGGTATCCCTTCTCCCCTTTCTTCCTTCCCAAAAACAGGCTAATAATGCATTAGACAATGCCAAGCTAACTTCCTTCCCTCTGAGCAAAAATGTTCATTAGCTTGGTAGTTGAATCATAAATGAAAAATATCAAACACAAGCCAAAAAACTTTCATACCGTTAGCTTACAGCCAACCTGGACAGCACATTGACTGACACTGAGACATATCTATTAGCATGAGGGTTAAACTTTGCCGTAGCTCCTAGACTTTACCCTTGGAAGATATCATTGTGCATGCAGAAATCTTGACAACACCGAGGCAGCAGATCTGCATGCAGAGATCGTAGGAGCGTTAAAATCATCAAAAACCCCGACAGATAACATCAGCAGAGAAGAACAGAGAGCACTTCTAAAGTTAAAGAAGGATGAGCCCATTCTGATTTTGGCCGCTGATAAAGGACAGGCAACAGTGGTTCTAAACAGGACAGACTATGAGCACAAGATTCTGCTGAATGATGATAACACGTATGAGAAACTAAAGTGTGATCCAACAAAGTGTTTACATTGATTACAGAATGAAGAGAAACTAACTAGATCTCAGTATGCTCAACTTTACTCTACTGCAGAAACACTACCTATAAGCTGTATGTATGGTCTACCTAAGATTCATAAAAAGGGCACACCCTTAAGACCGATAGTGTCAAGTATTGGATCAGTCACTGACCAGACAGCAAAGTTCTTAGCTAAGATCCTAAACCCATTGTTGGGAAAATTGTGTTACCATGTAATGAACTCTAAGGACATTGTGGATAAGGTGAAAGCTATCATTCTGGGACAACAGTAAGCTCTAGTATCCTATGATGTGAGTGCACTATTCACTCCTGTGCCGGTGGATGATGCTTTAAGAGTGATCAGTTCCAGACTTGCACAAGATCCCACCCTCATGGAAAGTACTAATCTCTCAGTAGTGGATATCACAGAGCTATTAGGGGTTGATCAAGAGGGTCCTGGCTGCTATACCACCTAGTGGTCAGTGAGTGTCAACATCTGCTCACATCAGTCTGGTGAAGGCCTACGTCCAGGTTGGCTGTAAGCTAAAGGTATGAAAGTTTTTCAGCTTGTGTTTGATGATTTTCATTTATGATTGTCCTATTATCTTTGAGCTGGTTTTAATCAAAATGGACACAAGAATGGTTTGTTTTACAAGATTTGTTGACTGGATTTACAAAATTTATGATAGACAAGACAGCACTGTCCTGAAATGTATTTTTTCCATTTTTAACAATTGTTTAACATATAACAAAATTAACAGTTTACAGCCATTTTTATATGATCAACTAAGAAAATTGATGACATGGGAAAAATGTCAATAGAACAGTGTTTAATGTCCAATTTCCTCCATTCTGCCAGTNATAGGATATCACAGAGTTATTAGGGGTTGATCAAGAGGGTCCTGGCTGCTATACCACCTAGTGGTCAGTGAGTGTCAACATCTGCCCACATCAGTCTGGTGATGGCCTACGTCCAGGTTGGATGTAAGCTAAAGGTATTTAAGTTTTTTAGCTTGTGTTTGATAATTTTCATTTATGTCCCTTCCCTCTGATCTACAATAATAATAAATTTGTCCTCATCTAAATTTTATATATAAAAAGTGAAACTACACAAAATTGTTTCATCCTTGTGCCTGCTTAGCAAAATCCTTAAACAAACCCACCAGTGATTTTAAATTACCATTAAAATGTTCAGCTGTATTAATGGTTCCAAACCTGCACTAAATTTGACACCAACAACTGTGGGATATTTCATTCCAATAAGTATTACAAGTAAGAGAAGGCCAATATATATACCTCTTGCTTCAATTATACATATATGACTAGCCTTTTCTCTTGAGCGAACTGAAGCTTTACCAATTGAAATGGCTACTATTTCCAACTGAAATTGAATGGATGTACATGCAACTCACACAGGCGTATTGCCCTCCTGATCCTGAAAATTTGGGTTTGCATTGTATTGTAGCAGCAGTCTGACAATCTTTGTGTTTCCTTTACAGGCAGCCCTGTGTAATGGAGTGTTGTTTACCCAGTCTCCTACATTAGGGTCAGCTCCATTAACCAGTAGAGTTTCTGTAATCTGAAAAATGTTACTTCTTTAAAATTTTGTTTTGACCACAATCTGTGTGTGATTCTTTTTCAAAATATGACTTATATTGCTATGATAACACATGTATAAATCACCTGATATCTGTTCTTAGAGGCTGCATAATGAAGGGGACACTGTCCAGTACTATTGATGGCATTGACCTGTGCTCCTTGACCAATCAACATGTTCACTATTGGCTCAGCTCCTGTTGAGGTGGCTATCATCAAAGGTGTCCAGTTAGACTGGAAGTAAATGTTAATGTACATTGCTGCCATAAGAAAGATTTGAAATGAAGTCATTAAGTAATACACATGGTACTGGCACTTTCTCTGTAAGTTAAATTTATAGACATTTGTCATTAAAAAGACAGTAAATAAATTCTAAGTTCTCTCTCTTTCTCTCTCTCTCTCTCTCTTTTCCAATCACTAATTAATGACAATGGGATCTGAAAACAGATGTTACAAAAAACATGAGTTATGTGTCCAAGAGTGACTGTGTATACTTTACATCATCCCTTGGGTCTACAGGCACTCCCATCCTGAGCAGATATTCCACTTCTTCTGAATGTCCACCTGATGCTGCCCAGTGCAGGGGTACGCGACCACCCTAAAAACAATGTTGAACATTTGAGAAATTAAAAAAAAAAGGGTACCAATTACATCTGAAAATAATGTACTGAGTACTTTGATCTCAACGACTTCAGATCTAGTTGTTTTCTCCAACTGGAATAAAAATTACGTGACTCACAAGTATCAGATTTATATTCCCATTTTTAATCAGAATTAAGGCTCACTAATTTAAATGCACACTAAAATTGCGGCATTCAATAGTTCAGCCCCTGGGCTATATTTTACAGGCACATAAGGGACAAATAATGCCTACAGTTATTTAGTTACTTCATGAACATATTGTTTTGAGTGCACTGTGTGTGAAAGAGAAAAATGTCAGGATTTACCTACCTATAGTACTCAACATAATTTTACCTTGGGAATCAGTCCATCTTGCATAAGTTTTAGAGCATTCTATGTTTTCATATAACACGCATTTGCCCATCAAAATCCCTTCACTTTGCCTGTAATAGGCATACTCAGTTATGTCAGGGCCGTAGCAATAGTCCGAAGGTTCATTGGTCCGAATGTTCACTACAGAACCTTCGGACCAATGAACCCTTGATTAAAAAACCGATGAAAATAAAAGGTTACCGTTTTTCGGACCAATGAACCTTCGGACCAATGAACCTTCGGACTATCGAGACGCCCCCGTTATGTCACTATGTGGCTGCATACTTAGTTATGTCACCATGTGGCTGCATACTCAGTTATGTCACTATGTGTACATTTTCAAGTCTCAAGCATTTTTATTTGTTAGTAAAAATTCATGTGTGGACCCTAGTCTCACAGCAGACCTTTTCTGTGTTTCAAAATCATCTTTATGTCTACCATCTATTCATTGTGCACTACTGTAGCTTAAATAATTTCTTGAGAGGCGAGCGTGGAAGTGTCGATTGTGTTGTAAACAAATCCACGTGCATCGCCTGCTCTTTGAAAGACAAGTTGCAAGTCACACCGTCATCCGTGCTCTATCCTATTTTTTTACGTACGGCATGCATATGTAAAGACTTTGTACTTTTTCCAAACATGTTTTGATACTTACCCTATCCGTCTTGGTAGCTAAATCTTTGTTTTCTGCTAACTTTCTCTTGAAAATTTCATATCGTCCCTCGTACGCGAGCTGGCTTATTTCTTCGTCCGACATTTTGAATCTCATGTAGCGCAATTTCGTTGCGTGGTGCAACTATCGCATCCATGCATTTGGTAGCTTTTGTCCCCGTCAACGAATTATGTTAACGCGACATAAGTGTGTTAACGTGAGATAGAAATGTCGAACAGTAATTTGGGTGTTTAATTTATATGTTTCCCACCCTGGATTACCCACCATTGTTTTTTTTTTTTTGGTGAATGAGGAAAAAATCCTTCCTCGACCAATTCCCGCACTTGGATCCTTCGTTTTATATTACCATTTCCTACTAAATATTTTAGCTCTAAATCACTGGCCATTCATTTACACAGCCATGTCTTCCTGTACATTTGAGAAAGAAAAGTCAATATCAGATACTTAAATATGGAAGGCTCAATTAAATAGTGGTATCACAAATGATCTCAAGACAATCTTGTTTATTTGTCATCTTCATACCAAACACATATATTACAGAACGATCTACTAAATTTGTGTATGGAAAAAAATGATAATGAAAATCATAGCTAAAGAAGAAAACAGCACCTGTGAAATCGGCAATGTTTCACTTTTAATTCAAAATTCTGAAATCTTTTTTTAAATTGGCATTAAGGTCATTGTTTAATATTTGCATAACAGATGTTTAACTTTACTGAGTGTATATTTATGTCAATGAACACTTCAAAGAGCACTAAAGTTCAAGGTATGTAATATTCATATATGACATGACACCAATTGAAAGCACAGCCAAGGTCACACAAAATACATTAAGTATATAAATAGATGACAAAAGAATAAAATATATTTCTTCGAAAGAACTATTGCATATTGTAATTGTTGACACCATCTAAAAATATCAAATTTATTACAAGCCGTGAGTGCAAAATATTTAACAAGTGCATGACCTCCTTCATAGCACGTACTCTGCACCGCTAATCAAAACCTGCTACATTATATCCACATATCATATTCAAATAAATCAAAGCATAATTCCAAATATAAAGCAAGAATGACAAGCAAAGGTTTTATCATTCTCATTTTTTCTCCAAAATCATTATTTTAAATCGTTCAAAAGAATTGGGGTTTCCTCTTCAGATTTGCATATTAAAATAAAGGCAGATGACAAAATAACTGCTTTATCCCCAGCTGCATATGAAACATGACTGCAGATTCTTTTCTTTGGATATACACATGCTAAAACTGGGGCAGATCCCACAAAACCAAAATGTTGGCTAAAGCTTTCCAATCTACAGACCAACAATCTTGAAAATCTATTCCGTGTAAAGTTAGGGTTCTAAGTTTGAGTGTGTTGGTGGTTCATCTGAAGTGTGTATACTTTGTAGTGCCCATTGAGATTAGTCTATGGGGACAATAATTCTTCACTGGCAAACTTGTGACTTTCATTCTGTTGTTACCAAAAAAGTGATACTGAATCCACATAATTTCCAGACAGTAATGCAGACAGGTGCATGCACTGGCATTATGCACAATCACCACTCTACTGTAAAAAATGGATGGATGAAATATGCAGTTTTAATCAGTTTCTCTTGGGCTTCCTTTTAACTCTTGGAATGAACCATTTTATCTTGACTTTAATAAACAACTCATGTCAAAGTAGAAAGAGATATACAAAAGCTGCCCTTCTCTGTCAAAGTCATGCAGAGAAAAAGAAGTTAAGTGCTCTATTGACATCATAATCTGCAGCCAGTGCAACTCTCACAAGTTCTTCTCTGGGCACCCCGTCCCCAACAATGTCTCTTAGAGACTCCAGGCATGCATCAAGTCTCCCACTGTCCTCCACATAGTTCATCTCTTCTGAGGAGCTGGAATTGGTCTTATCATCCTGGAAAGCATTGTAGATAATATTTGAAATAGTTGTTTAAATAGTACTGGATGTATCATGTTTTAAAACTTATCTAATAACTAAAATCAGTTGTAACAAAATTTATATTGAATATTAATAATATTTATAATAATAGAACCAGCAATTAAAAGAACAAAGATTTTTAAACTGTTTTCTACAAAGTAATGTTGCAAAGTTTATTTGAAATGTTTCAGTCTATCAACTTCCTCTGAGAGAGAGAGAGAGAGAGAGAGAGAGGCTAAATACTTACCTCTGAATCAATATCTAGTTGTGCCATAAGTCTCTCCGTGTGGGATAACCCTGACACAGATGAGGGTGGTGTCTCTGTATGGGAATGACCACTTAAACTGCGGCTTCTGGAATCCAGCCTGCATACAAGTAAAGAAAATGCAGTGGTATGCCTTACAATTCACATTAAATTCCTATCAAAACCATAATAAAGCTTTGGATAATAAAGTAAAATTGAGCAAAATTTAAATGACTGATGATGATCAATCTGCAAGTCTAAACAAGTTCATTGGCTATGTATCTTTTATGGACATTGCATTGTATACCTTGATTTTACCTATTGGTTACAGAAAAATGTCATGATGACAAGCCTCCAATTTACCACTTGCCTGACAACATTCAACTGTATTGAAAGAAAAAAGATGTCTTCATGCCTCACCCATGCCACAAAACTGCATCAGCCACCTCTGACTGTAGGTGTTCTGGCAACTCTTCAAATACCTCACTCTCCATCACTTTGGGATGCTCTGTGATAAAATTTAATGCTGATGACTGCAAGAAAAAATACATCTTAATAACATATTACATTTTGAGTACACATTAGTAAAGATAAGAACTGCATTTATTCTCTCTGTTATGCATCTTACCACCTCTTGGGTCAAAGTAGACCAAAACATTTTGATTCATCCAGTTCTAGTTTCATACAATTAAGGAAAGAAAACTAAATCACGTACTGGACATGCACATACACATGTATGGTACAAATTCTAATGTTTTGTCTATATCCGATAGGCTTCATCAAATTCTCTGTCACTGGAACTCATTCCATCCGTATGTGAGGGTATAGTATGTGATTTGATTTTCTTTCCTTAATTGCTTGGGCTTTCAGTTAAGGCAAATTTTTTGGCTACAGTTCTTCTGTGAAACAGGCCTCTTACTTCTATTTTTGATATTTTGAACTTCATACATGACACAGATTACAAAATACATGCAATGGAATACTGTTATACATTTACATTGCAAGGTTTTATGAAACACATACCCTGAGTGCTGTTGCATTGTATTGCTCTGCCAAGCTGAGAAGAAACAGTGAGGAATCTTCATCTAAATGGTGCTTTAGTGTATTCTCACAAAGGGACTTTAAACTGTCTACCTGAAATACAAAAAGCAAAACATATCATGGTGATTTTCTAGATGCAGGACATGACTACGATTAAACACCTTGCAGGTTTTCTGTACAGGACAGCACACATTTTTCCTGTAATAAGATTTGACTGAATACTTGATGCTGAACTCTTTAATTTAGGCTATTCTTATTTTCACCAGAATTCAGGGAATAAATCTGACAGCAGAAGCCTCACTTAACTTTCTCTTACTCACCTCATATCTATCCCCAATAGCCATCATGTCTGCCAGCTGTTCCGTAGACATCTCATTGGTTTCTAATTGCCCACTATATAAATATTCTAGGAAAAGTCTAAACAGACTTGGATTGGTGTCATGCACTGTAATTTTCCTATAAAAAGACATAAACCATAGTTGATATATGCATCTACATAGCATTTTAGCCTTTCAGTTCTAAAATTTCCTAACGAAGATTTTCACCAAAGTTAGCTGATTAAAAAAAATGTTTAATTATCTTGGCAATTTTTCATTGAATATGAAGTAACACTTAATTCATGTTCATTTGTTACTCCTTGTTTGTCCTTAAGATGAAATATTTAGCGATTTACAAGAAAACCAAAATAAATATCAGATAAGTGCTTGTGCCTTGGTGGTTCCCTGTAATATATTCATAGAACCGACCCCATTCCATTCTTACTTGTCTATAGACTCTCTCATGCCACTAAGTAAGGCTCTCCTGAACCAGTCACATCTAGCTGCAATAATTACACAGTGTGCCTGAATTTCATGGATGTCCACTTCCTTGGAGTGGTCAGTTCTTGACACTGGTTCTCCATGGGTATGGTCAACTACTACATCCCCAGATTCTGGTTTTAAATTTAGTGGTATATTAGTATTAAATGTATGTGGACTCTAGTATTCCATTGACATTTTTGACATAATATCTTGCAGATGGAAAAATTTACAGAATGGTTTATGCTTTTGAGATTCCTTTAACAGGTTACCATATAAATCAGTTCTCCTCAGTGAAGTGAATGTATTTTGTGACTAACAAATAAGAACAAATCAAGTTACAGTAAGTGTTGGACTGTGCCATAATCACCTTGAACAACTATAATTTCAAATATCATGTCAGTGCCCCTTCCTTCACGTAATAATTTGACTGCACCTCCTGCCAAACTGCTGTCCCTGGCAAGTGGAGACTGACACAGAGATTCCACAGAACTAAGCTGAAATGGAACCAGAAGAACACAGTTCAGTATTACTTTTCATACCCTGTGAATTTAATGTTATGTTTATCTTAGGCTATTATTTATAATTAATAACGCTCTTCCATACAATACTAAATCTTGCCTTTAAGTTACATAGAAAAAAATCAAAATGCTCTACCTGGACTACCAAATTACTCAAAACCTTACCTGAGCATATTTGGCAGGGCTTGTCTTCGGGTTCATCTTCTTTGGCATTGCACTTGTTGCTCCATTGGCTGTAGAAGTAGTAGTAGTAGTGGTGGTGGTGGTGGCAGGGGGGTCAGACAGCCCCAGGGCTACCAAGGATGAGTTAAACTGTTCCCGATGCACCATATCACAGATTTGAGATATCATTGCCTTTAATGATGGCTTATGACCCACTACCTTCCCTAAACCCCACGCCTGAAACCATGAAGATGCCTTTGAAGAAAGATGTTATTACTGCTCAGGCAATAAAATAAAGTCACAGGTGCACCATGTACATCACAACATTAACAATATCTTCTTTACATGTACACAGAATTCTATGATAATGGTGAATCATCATGCAATACCCAACATGTGCACATGTTGTTAGTTCTGTCAACAGTTACATGCTGTCTAATAACCAAAGTCCTCTTCTTTGCTGTTGATTATAAAATTTTAATGGAATATTCATTGAACACAACAACTTCAGTTCATCAGTTTTGGATTTCCTTTTGATATGCAAAACAACTTAGCCTTTTTAATATTCTGACCAAAATTAACATCATTATACTATAAATCATTTCATATATGGTATCCTCTGGAACATATTTTATTTTGTATATTATTATTTTTTGAAGTGGATTCAGATTAAGTTAAACTGAGCATGATCTGACTAATGTCACAAGACAAACAGATAATTTAGCTTCGCCCGTAAGAATGCCTTAGAATATAAAATCTTCAATTACAATGGCAGATCCAAGGGGACACACCAGGCAAATCCATTCCTGTTCAATAGATATATAGTATATTTGTTCTCATCTGCTGTTGTATATTGCAGAGCAAAAGAAGGCATTTTTGCCCCCCCCCTTTCCCATCCCTACCTTAGCAAAATACTGGATATGTCATTGTGTCAATCAATCTGGTTGCTTCAACTACCAACACTCACAATATTCCATATCATTTCAGTATCTTTAACTCACCACCTTAGAAGTCCCTAATTTAAATAAATATTTCCATTCCTTCCATGTGACCTTCTCGTCCAATGCTGACATCAACTCCTCGACGCGTACCAGGAACAAAGGAACTTCATCAATTAGCTGTTCAAGATTTTTTGCAACTGAACGGATTTTTTCCTCCTGGCTCATTAGGCTGAAGTTTTCTCTGAAAAAGTATTATTTACATTACAATGAGCTTATCTAGAAAATTTAGGCTAGACATCTGTAGGTGTCATCTGAATCTTTTAAATAAATAGAATCAATGTAATGGTTTGCCAGTCCATCATTCTGCAACAAATATATTAAGAATTTGTTTTAAAACTGCATTTTCACTTCAGCTGGACCACATCATTAAAATAGATCCAAGAATGATTACCAATAATTTTTTCTTACTTTTTCTGCATTAGATGCATAAAATTTGTAGTAGTTTTATCATGGAAGTACTTAAGCTTCATCAATTCCCTCCTATGTAGTGCCTGAAATAGAAGAAAACAACTGAATGTCTAATGTCGCTGTAAATATAACCACTTAATATTGCATTTTTCAAACATAGCTTAAAATACTAAAAAGATGCATACTTGAAAAACAGAAAGGGACAGTTTTTCAGAAATTAAATTTCAGAACCCAATTTATACCAATTGGTTGTCTTATTCAGTGACATTGAAATGACATTTAAAATAATATTTCTACAATACTATTAGCAGATTTAGCAATATCCATATTACGTTTTTTAAGGTCCGACCCATGGCCTCTACAATTTGCCCCTTCTTAGATTTCTTGTCATGTTTGTGTGGTTTATCAGCTGGTTTATCAGCTGGTTTGTCACCGGGCTTCTCTGTGGGGCTGCCTGCAGTGCTGTTTGAGCTTGAAGTAATGACCTGTTCTAGTGCTGTCTTGATTTCAATTACAAAGTGAGCAATTGTGTCCAATGTCTTCTCAACCTAAAAAACATAAAACTTAAAACATAAACGACTGCACCATGATTCACAATAAAACAATGAGAATAGAAACAAATAGCTGTGAGTATCATTTCATCACATTTCTTTATTCCAATTAATTTCAATTTTTGCCACTTGATTGAAAGACACCATTTAAAACTTTCAATTTAAAGAATATATGAAACCAATTCAATATTTTTTTTCTTTAGTAACTACCACCTTTACTCACCTCTGGAACTAAATAGCCTGCTATTTCTTGTCTCTGGGTTGCAGTTAGTCCATTTGTGTGCTGTTTTATTACTTCTAAAAACCTTCTCAGTTGGTTCATGAATACCGGTAACCTGGAAGGCAGTACGAAACTTTAATCTCTTTGACTAAAACACTTGCAGTGCAAAGAGACCATTCCCAGAGACTATCGTACTAACTTTGGATCGAACTATCTTCAAGAGGATTCTCACTTAATTGCAATTAACTTAAGTGGCTCAGATGTCTGTCGCACCTACTAACAACTTTAGTAGGCGTCCCAGACATCTAAGCCACTTAAGCTGAAAGCAATTTAGCAAGAAACCCCGTGGAGATGGACTGATCCTGTTAAATCAATCTAGGGATGGGAACCCAGTCAAAGACTCCTCCCTCAAAAGTATCTCAAAATCTGAAATTTCTGTACAAAATTTTACTAATACATCTCTCAAAAAAGTCCAAGTAAGCATTAAAAGGATTAAAATCCAAGGCATTGGTAACTTTGTCACTATACCATATTTACTGACCTTGATTTTGCATATTTGATTATTTCATGTCTCTCTTCTCTAGAGAGTTCCCCTTTTCTTCTTGAAAACAGGTCACTTAATATCAGTAACTTTGCACCAGCTGCAAGATGAACATCAGATACTAACATGAGTCACAGTTTTATGCAGTAATACCTATTTCTGATCTTTTCCATCATATAAAAAGCATTGACGCATGCAGTTTCTAGAAGTAACTAGACAACAAAGCTGACAAATATGCAGACACTATACAGGAAACAAGGTAGCAAAGGTAACACATGTTCAGACATTTCGCAGAAAAAAGTGCACCAAATAATGTTTTGGCCATTTTGATGCACAGTTACACTATTACATAATGCTTTGAAACAGCATAATCACACTTACCCTCTTGCATTATGTACTACAGGTAACATGGACATTGAAAAACTAGCAAGTTATTCAGTTTCATGGGCTATAAAAGCCACTGAAAATGCTAATGTGTAAAAAAAAAAATCACAAAAAAAAACAGAATAATTACCATAAATGTAAACCAATCATGCAGTTTTTTAAAGCAACCTGCCTCTTTACCAAACAAAGCCACCCAGTACATTTGACATAAAAACAAATACGGTTCGAAGTTATGGGGCGAACGTCACCAAAATTATGCAAAAAAAAAAAAAAAGAATAATTACCATCAGTGTTCACCAATCTTGCTGATTTTCAAAAGCAACCTGCTTCTTTGCAAAACATAGCCACTCAGTAAATTTAACATAAAACAAAAATACAGTTTGGCAGTTATGGGGCAATCATCATGACATGAACAGACAGACCATTCAGAATATAAACCGACACTGTAAGTAGTGTATAAAAATAACTTATAACTATAGCAGAGGGAAAATTGTAGAGCACAGCACAGTGACCAACTGTGACAAAATACATCGAAACAATAAAAACAAAAAGACAGGATAAATCCTCAAACAAAATGCTATTGCCCATTTTAACTTGATCTGCATTTGCTCCCTAGTGTGGACTTCAGCAAGTTTAAAAAAAGAACAGCAACTTCTTATCTTATATTACTAGAACAAGAAAGGTAATTTTATTTTTGCTGAGGTTTTGGCATGGGCAATGCAGTCAGTCTGGCTATGGCTAACCCAACAATTTTCATAAATGAAATTTTGCAATAAAAATGCAAGGTTTGAAAATACATATAAAATCTTAAGTATCACTTCACGTACATCCACAGAGGGCACTTAAAGGTTGAAATGGCTATTTACAAAGGACTTGTTTCACAAAAGAACTGAAACACTTTTAACTTCAGACCTAAAATTTTCTAATTCAGTGAAAGATAAATTCATAGTGGTCTGCTTAGATAAAGTAAATATTGGCCTGAAACATTAGCCATATATCTTTCTTGTTATAAAATATGTATTTAATTTTATTGGACAACTACTGTTTTGTCTTGGGTCAAAGGAGACTAAAATTAACGTCTAAAAGTTTAGACCAATTTTGGACTTTTGAAACCGGCTCCAGCAGTGGGTTAGCTGCCAAGATTGATAGTGTCTCATCACAAGGAGACTATCACTTCTAAACAAGTGATCAGTTACACATATTCACTAGCCATTTTGCTTGAATGAACTGTATGGCACTACAACTTCTTCTACTACTACTACTAGACTCTGAATACATTCAAGGCCCCAAAAAACACCACCACCCAAGAAGTTGCTATCTTACCAACACAAGCTTCCCTGATAGCCTGCTTTACCACATAACACAACTTGGCAGGATTGGCGACGAGGTTCTCCCCTGGGGTCTCCATCACGGGACTCTGGCCAGCACTGCTAGAGGTACCTGTGGTCTTGCCATTAAATAAGTCTATGATCTTGTCTGCACAGGAGTGCATGTCTGAGACTAGGCTGGTGATTTCTGAAATGTTGAAGTAACTGTTAGAAAATACGGTAATGACTTACTAAATTTCTACATACTGAATTAACTTCAACAAAACAATGTCTTCTTTTGCAATATTAAATGTGTAATTCAATTATTAGTGCCCACTGAAAAGTTATGGAAGGTTATTTGGCTTCCTATCTAAAAGAAATTTTTTATAAGTAACTAAAAATGATAAATCTTTAAACAGTAAGATACTAAAATAAATGATTGTCCTATCATCTTTGAGCTGGTTTAAACCAAAATGGAAACAAGAATGGTTTGTTTTAGAAGATTTGTTGACTCAATTTACAAAATTTATGATAGATAAAATGGCATTTCCTTTAGCCTTGTTTTGATTTCAAACAAGTCTGGCGGATTGTTTCACCATTAAGTTGGTCTGCAATTCCAACTAGCAACCAACATGAGCCAATATATATATACTTGTTAGATCATACCCTTTCATACAAAAATATGCTTAATCCAATAAAGATTATTATTACTTAAAACCCACAGCTTTCCACTTACGTTGCCTCAAGGCCACATTTTTAAGAAAGGTATTGCACATGTCCACAAATCTCTCAAAGCCAGGCACCTTGCCCAAGTGTCTTACACAGTCCTTAGCTGCCTGTTCTGATAGTCCTCGCGGCAAACTCTCAGAATATAGGTAATGCAGTGTAGTACTGAGCACATCTTCGGGTAGCCCTGACAAGGGAGGAGGTGTGCTGGACCAGTCTACAGTAGAGACACCTAGACTGAGGATGGCCTTATGCGCTTTAAACTGAAAGAGTAATAGAAAAAGTAAGTTAAGGTATAGAGAAAGTCTTTTTTTTTTTAATCAAAATAAAGCAAGTTTTGCGATTTACAATTTTATATGACTTATCTATGGGCATGTTTAAAACATATAAAATACAATGATTTCAACAAACATTTGATTTTGAGGTCAGACAGATAGACTTTATGGGCAAGAGATGATTATTGATTATTTCAATCAAGTGGACTTAAATTTCTGGAAGCCACTATTTAAATTTATTTTTCTAAATAAATGAATGAACTAGGTGAAGTTGTTATCAGGAATTCGGGGGAATGTATAAAAAACACAATCAAAATTAATTTCGTGCAGTATTTCTAAGAATTAATTGCCCTTATGCCTTATATGACCAAATCATACTTTTATACAATTCATCTCCACACACTATTGTGCAATGTGGCCAAAAAATCTTACTTCTTTGTTATTGTCAGCAGTGATGGTAACATCAGCAAAGTAGCCTTGTTCCAGAGCACCAATAAAGGAAAAAGGAATGTCATCTTTAGGGTCACTGGAGGAGACCTAGGAATAATGATGCTATTTAGGATACAGAAGAAGGAGAAAATGAACAAAGAGGTATAAACTTTGAAATAATATGTTTAATGCGATTAAAGAATGATAACTGAGTCACATGCTGGACACTCACATACTGTTCGTGCACATGAGATCATATCAGCTGTGCTTGAGTGTCCAGCATTTATTTTAATGTTTTATCATTTAATTGTTTAAAACTACAACTGGATAAATCATAATATACACTGTGATATATTGTTTCATACTCATCTTCAAATAACCACTAACGCAAATACATACTGCTTAGTTAAGAAAAATAAAACACACTTAGATAATCAATATTTGCAAATGCAAACAGGCTTCAACACAACTGATACATATACAGGAAATCAAAAAGCCCCCACCCCAACTCTCCATGCTGATAAATGGCGAATTACCTTCAAACACTTAAAAAAATTAACTTTTAAAGTAAACATAAATTACTTTTACCTTCTGACATTGCAGCATACAACATCTCTCATAAGTCAACAACATCAGATCATCAGATACTTCCACCTAAAAAAATAAAAACTGGAGCATCAAATTCAATCAAAGCATCACTGATATGAGAGAATATCCAAATATTTGAGTAAATTATGACCTGTATCTCTTCTAATTTTTTTTCTCTATTTCATCAGCGACATCAAAAGTAGATTTATAATCTTTCTGAGAAAAAGAAGTCAATGGCATTTAAAGATTACTCAGACATGTATAAATTGCTCGAGGATCTATCTGTTTCTGTGTACTTGCACAGATACTTGGTAATGATTTCATGCTTCGTTTGATCTATAATCCTCTGTAATTCTACTACAAATCTATTACACTTCAGTTCTGAACAGTCTATGTTTACAAATCTATCTGAAATTGTTTTCAGACCAAATAGTTCCCTAAGGATCATGACAATATGATCTAGCAATTTCTTCATTATTCTTAATTCTGTGTGGTAGATCCTGAAACAAATATTCCCTGAAGCAGCAGCAGTGCTAAAGCTCACTCAATGGAAAAACACTCTCCATCTGCTTTGTTTTTTCCCCATGCAGAGATGAAAAGGCCAGGTCACTTACCTTGAATTCTATAATATGTCCAGCAAATGTTCCAAAGAATTTGAGTGCTGGAGGATCAGCCATAGAAACCTTCAAATTAAAACATAATCTAAACATTATCATACAGTCAGTATATCACCATTTTCAGAAATCATCTACTAAT